CTGTCACTACGGTATTGACCGTACCACTATTTGCCCCAGTGCCCCGTGAATCAATAAAATACACTGATATAGGATCTAAATTTCCAAAAATTTCAGGTCAGCAACCCCTCCCCCACGAGTAAATTGTACCTCAGATGGCTAACCGTACCACACTAAAATACCTTCCGACGCCCCTGATTTTAGTTACCCGCTTTGTACACTCTTCCTGCCCTAGTCCCCATTGGGACGGCATTGTATCGCTGACCCGTGTACCTTTCGTGCTGATGAGTGCACCATTTTCCTGGATATTATTCCCTTGTCAGCTGCCATAAATTTTGTTAGTTGTCATTCGGAGTCAGTTGTCAAGTCGTCTCCACAGAAAAAGAACAAAGTATTCTCTCCAACAAACAGGTTGGTCGTCTGCTGTGTAGCACGGTCGCGAGAGGGGGTATACTTCGCCTTCACGTGGCTAGACGACAAAAGTGTTGTCCGTGCCAGCACATGTTCCAAAAGAGGCACGGACAACAAAAAGGACGTGAAAACACCACGGGAGAAAGACAGTCCAGCTGAGAATTGGACGATCGATCGAAACTCAATTGAGAAGCATGGTCAAGATTCTGCGGCTGAATGCGTCCTGTGAAATTCAGCCGGATCGCTTTTGGCTGAAAAGCTGCAGAATTCAGCCGTCACCATGGAAAAGGCAGACATTTTCCGCGCGTCTTCAGCCGAATGCCTGAAAAGTGTGCAGTGTGACCGCAACCTAAGACGCCTGGGTGACAAATCAAGGTGGGCTTATCGTAAGCCTAGGGTTGAATAAGCCCTAGTTTTTTTTGTCACGTAAACGGCCCCTTAATGACATAGAGTTTTACTGTTTCCCTGGTAAACTAACAAAACAGCCCAGTAGACCAAAGGAGCTGTAACCTGGAGGTCCAGTTAGGAGAGATACGCTTGTACTAGAATTAGTACTTACATCAAGCACAGCATGTACATAATCAGCATCAGAAACCAATCGCACCACGTCGACCGTCTGCAGCCTTGGATGAAGATACTGTTGGTGACAAACCATTAAAAAGCAGAGAATACGAGTCACAGTGATAAGCACATATTTTTAATATTGCAAGCAGTCGCAACCGAAAAAGGATTAAAAAAGGCGGACATCAAAGAGGACCAGAACAACATTTTAAACTGCACATTTATTCATGCGAAGAGAACAACAAACGTATGTCGCAAATGACACAAGCTACATACAAATTCACAATCGACATGGACATGAACACTTCGACAGTACAGTGCAAAATTAACCCTTCGAAGCCCAGCTGGTTTTTCTGGTTTTCCAGGCATTCGCAAAGCGTTGCACGCAAGCATGGTGTAGTAGACGGACTTGCTCCTAGTAGCCTCCTACACAAATCACTATGTATTACTATTTATCACTCTCTTATTATTGACCCCCACAGAAGCTTGTGATCTCTAAGCGGTCAAATATCAGCATATATTGACCGCTCATATTGACCACTTATTATTGACCACTTAGCCCGAGGACTTAGAACTTTTTCCTCAACTTAGAAAAAAATCAGAACTGAAAGAAGAAAAATCTGAAGCCAAATGCTGGGATTTGAACCCAAACTGTCAGATTCTCAGTCAAAGAAATTGGGGAACATACTACAAGAGACAACTGAAAACTTCGGTTTACACAGAAGTAATGTCCAATGTAAACGGCATATATACATACTATTATACTATTACAATAGTATTCCTTTCTTCCTATAGCAAAGCAAAAACAGTTTTAGGTATGCTATGTCGTGATAAATCTATTATTGCCCTCATAATCGGTCAATATATGAAATATAGACCTCGTAAAAGACCTCGGGGGACCTCGGTCTTTTACTCGTTCTATATTTCATATATTGACCTCTTTAATCGTGCAATAATAGATACGTATTGCCCTATGCATTGCTGACACCATCAGATCCCTTGCTTTCATTTATAGATCGCTAGCTAGCGCTGGGAGCTGTAGCTGGACTTCATCTCTTATTATGGATCCGTCTTTCAGTTTCCCAGTCCAGTTGTTGTTGTTGTTGTTGTTGTTGTTGTTTAGTCTTCCCTTCCGTTTCAGTTTTGTTTTTCTGTCTAACTACTTAGTTCTGTGTTACTTACGTTTGTCTTTTCGTGCAATATTATTACCTGAGACTACTACTTGTGCTTTGAGTCGTGAGAGACTGAACCAGTTTGCCTTACCACTCGGTCGCGTATTACACATGGATGGGCAATTTCAAAATTTTCAATTTCGCTCGCCAGAGATGGAATTTCATTCACTTGGGCCCCCTGAAAAGTAGGCCAACTGAAAAGTTTGTGATCTCCTCCATCCAAAAGGTTAGCCCTTTTAAAAGAGCTGCCCCATACTTGAATGTGTCGTAAACGATGCATTGAAAAGCATTTTCGGCCAACAGGGCACGTTTTAGCACTCTCAAGTTGCTCTTTTGGAGGAGTCAGGCGAAATAGCACGTCATAGTACATTCGAGATCAGCGGGAAGAAGATGACGACGTCCACTAATTTAGTGTCTGTGCACACGAATCTGCTGTGTGTGTTACTCTGTGTGTCAGCTATGGCATCATCGCCTGTGGTTTCATGCCTAGCATGTACGTCTGAACCATCCTGCAAAGTTTGAATGACGTGGGTTGAGCGATCGCTCCGCGAAATATACTTTTTGAAATTCTCTTCAAAGTATGTTTTCCATCATTGAAATTTCGAATTTCTTCGAATTTTTTGCTGAGAGGGGTGGCTTGCAACCTTGATATGGCTTGTTCCAGGCATGCTTTGGAGCCATCGCCTGTTGAAACAGTGGCGGGAAGCTGCCCTGCAACTGTTCCAACAGGAAATTAATCGATCCGAGAAAGCGCAAGTCCGCGAATCTCGGTTGAATATTGAGTATTTCAAGCCTTTTCACGACGAAGATGGAGTTCTTTTTGGAGATGGACGTCGCGGCAAAGGACATGGTGTCCGACTTCTGGTGTCTGGTGAAGCCAGGGATCATTTGTCCAGTCAGATCGGCAGCCTAACCGTCGGTAAACTTGTGTTTGGATCCCGTTCTGCTCGATGTGGTAGGTCACAAACAATTTGATATCGCACAAATTGATCTCAGCATCGTGCGTACGGTATTTTATATTCAGAAAATCCCAAAGTGTCTCTGTGTGGCCGTCCTATGCCACGAGAAACTCCAATCAGGCTCCTATGTCCTCTGCCTTCATCATTCATGATTGAATGTCCACTTCGTTTGAACAACGAACACAACAATTGAGGACGGCTTTGCAATGAAAAATACAGCAATACGGAGCTGAAAAAAAGACGAAAAAACGTGCTCAGGATGAGACTCGAGTACATGCATAATCTCCCAGCAGGTGAAACGCAAATTTTTGTGAAAAATGCGTGTCGCCGGCTGACCAGTAATTTCGCCTGACGAATAGGGCAGACCATCCTGGACGAAAAGTGGTACGACCAGGGTCGTACTGGTTGTGCCGCGTATGATGCCCGTGCCGGCACTCACTGACTGACTTCAGCTAGTTGGCGCACATAGCTTATGTTCTCAGTGATTTTTTAAAAGTTAAAGCTGTTTGACCAGTTTGTGTTTCAATGGCTGTCACGACTTAAAGTCACGTCATGTGCTATTGCCCTCTTTTGTAAGCATGCATGCAATTCGAAGAGCAAAACGCCTTTGATTTTTTCCTAAGCATGCATGCAGGCCGAAGCATTTTTGTCATTGAGAACTCAAAACACAATACACAGCCACTTGGTGTTTTCGCCTAAATTACCATCAGCTTGCCAACCCGGCCGACCCTTAGCTTAATGCTGTTTCTATTGCTTTAAGAGGCGACGTCAACAGGAGAATTTGCATCAAAGTTTCGGTTGGGGTCACTCCACATTCGGCACCTTATAATCCATACCCATCAACGAATGTGTTTAAAACTTTCAATATTTTTGGGCAACTCGACTGGTTCTATTGAAAAGGAAAGACTGGGGCTATGAATCACTCTCCAACGAGCGTAGTGCTTTGAGCATAGCTCACAGAATGTCCGGGCCACTTTCCTCTATTCTTTACTGAAACCCCGGAGTACTTCTGGATAAGGTGATACCCACCTTAGATTGGAATATCGCTGGGTCGTTCGTGAAGTCCAGTGGTTCGCCTGGGTTGGCGACTTTGTGGCAGTGGTCAATGCCAGAACTTGTGTGTGCAAGCTGTTTATTCTAAAGCGTTCCACTCGGTACCGACGAGTCTGAAATAGGACACTTTCCTCCACCCGTTCAGGGCAAGGGTGATGATTTCACTGCACTTCTTTCAAAATTTGAAGTGTCGGCTACAATAATATGGAGTGACAAGTGGACTAAGATACAGATATGCATCCTCCACTGTTTTTGGAATCGTATGCTTTCCTTGCGTATGATCGTCTGTCAGACTCTGACAAAAGGTAACCGACAATAGTGGCATCATTACACGACCTGAGTAAAGAAAATTGAAGTCACGTGTTTGTTGATGGGTCATCTTAAAGGGGAAGTTAAGGCAAAAATTAAAATTTCACCAGTTGTAGTCTTCGGGGTGCTGAGTCGAATGGTCTTGGTCCGAGAAAGCTGAGACGCTCCCTTCCTACTTGAATCCCAATCGAACTCGCGCACTCCCACCGAAACTGGGTGACTGCGCCCTACTAGATGGGGATTTGTATGCAAAATGTCACTAAAAGCGCCATTTCGTTCTTATAAAAGCACGGATGACCACGATTGGCCCATATGTTGTAGTCTTTTGGACGCTGAGTCGACTGGTTTTGGTCCGAAAAGGCTGCGATGCAGCGTTCCTCCTTTATTCCCAATCGAACATGGTTGAACAAGCGGTCACGTGCTCCTGGGTGCCCAAATCACCTGGTCACCACGCCAGCAGGCGACAACTTTCACACCAAGGTTCAACTCGAGTTCAACTCGAGTGACAGGACTGCACCCAAAAAAGGTCAAACAGGCTAGTGAGTTGTACCCTGCAGGCACAGTGACCAGCTGACTGGTGTACGCAGGAGCACGTGACCGCTTGTTCAACCATGTTCGATTGGGAATACAGGAGGAACGCTGCATCGCAGCCTTTTCGGACCAAAACCAGTCGACTCAGCGTCCAAAAGACTACAACATATGGGCCAATCGCGGTCATCCGTGCTTTAATAAGAACGAAATGGCGCTTTTAGTGGCATTTTGAATACAAAACCCCATCTAGTAGGGCGCAGTCACCCAGTTTCGGTGGAAGTGCGCGAGTTCGATTGGGATTCAAGTAGGAAGGGAGCGTCCCAGCTTTCTCGGACCAAGACCATTCGACTCAGCACCCCGAAGACTACAACTGGTGAAATTTTAATTTTTGCCTTAACTTCCCCTTTAAAGAGCATGGTCTTCAATGCAGCAACGCCCTAACCTGAGATATGGACGCATCAACATCAGCTCCGAATCGCACAAGGATAATGCAGCCTATTAAGTGTCCAGATTTAGCAGCAGCTTGTAGTGGCTTCTCACCATTCTGTGAAGAAACATACAGAAAAGAAACAGTGCTACTCTTGGAGTGTCCTTTAAAGCAGCTGTAAATGATGCAATACAACCCCAACGATAATTTTATTCGTGGACAAACAAAAGAGGGTGGGAAAGGGCTGCAATGCCTTGGCGCAAAAGCCCACAGCATGATCTGGTAGCATCTAAGCCGACTGCTCAAGGGATGTGGTCGATATGTACAGGTGGTCTCCTTATCAAATGTCTTTTGACTGTAAATAGCACCGTTTGGCCCCAATTGTTACTGAGTGGTCGTTCTGACAGTGTTACCGAATCATCGGAAACCAGCTCAACAAGCTCCAACACGTTCAGCTTTGCCAATCAACTAAGGCTACCGTGGGCTGGAAGTGCGGTGGGTGATGTCGTTTGCTGTGCAGAACTCAGTGAAAGCTTCGCTGGCAAACTCAGGACAATTGTCTGTAACCAAGGTGGAAGGAAACCACGCTCGGCACAGATTCGGTGCAGATACTAGACGAAAGCAATCGAGGTGGTGGCAGTCAGGGGAATGATATCAAGGTAACACATTAGATAATGTACGAGCAGATATTGTGGTATACATGTCATGTAATGTGAATCAAGAATAGAACACCTCCACAACAATGCCATATGCCTGCACTTCATTGCACTGCTTACTGAAACAGTCAACTTACCTCATCCCTTGCGTTTGGTTCTGCACTGCTGGATAGCAACAGCTCCACACTTCTGGCCCCGCCACTCCTCGCAGCATAATGTAGGGGCGTCTTTTGATACTGAACGTTGTGGACAAAGCAAATAAGTTCAGTACAGATTAAAAAAATATCACGCTAGTAGCTGAAACAAACATACTGCTTCAATATTCGAACATTCTAGCCGTGAATGAAATAACAAAACATTCTCTTCAGGGAGTAGCCAAGATCTCTTTCAAAGAGGCTCCCATCAATCTAGTTTCTCCATGCCAAGTATAAAATCACTGTGGGTAAACGCTTCTTTTCAGCTCACACTTGTCTTGATAAAAAGTTCTAGTGCTGAAACGATTATATCGTTTACTCCTTACTTACTCGATAAGAAATAGATCGAACGGTTATTTCGATTTTATCGGCTAAACGAGTAGAATGGTACTTGCGCTCGGTACGGGATTTCCCCCCTTTTGGGAGTCGCACAAAGCGTGCATGCATCGAAAGTGTTGCGAGTACGACACGAATATGTACATGACTGTACACTTGCAACATCGATGTACGTGTAAAGTACAAGCGCGATCTGAGTAACATCGACGCGATCACCGCTACGTCGCCGTCTTTTGAGCTGACTACTTTTCTTACATACAGCATGCAGGACGGGCAGGCTCAGTATGAATCTACACTAGCTGCAGGGGCTGGAGTTCCCTCCACGTGCGAGTAGTCTTGAGCTAAAGACAGTAAAGTGGTCTTCAGTTTCATGTTTTCCGTTCTGTCGACGGTTCCCGAATCAGTTTGCTCGACGACGAGCTACGCCTGGCGTCTGGGTCTATTTTGAGCATAGACAGGAAAAGCAACTAGTTACTTGTTGGTGCGCCTCAAGTGAGCTCATCGGTCGAAATCCGCCGATCTGCACCCCTGGCCGGCTTCTCTGACTTCATCGTCGGAGTCAGCGAAGTCACGGGCGAAGGGCACCATCAGCTCTGGGGTTGCAACCAGTGAGGTGCCTCTGTCTTGTCTGTATTCGTTTGGTCAGTCCGAACAGCTGACGGACTATTTGCGGGATCATCGGATCTATGCGCCCGCTTTCCGTCGTTGGCGATGTTGCACTCGTAATATTTTGGAAATTCACAGAATGTACATGATTGTACTGATGTAGTTACAATAATAATCGTTTAGCTGATAAGCCGATCGTTATGGTATCAGCTGACCCATTAAGGAAAAAACTGTTATCGTTTCAGCACTAATAAAAACAGAGAGATCTTTATTAAACAAGGCATCGTGTATTTTGTAAGTTTACATTCGGTGAGCTATACTAATCGAATATTGCATGCTGGGCATTATCCACTTGACCAGCGCCTAACTGATGACCTGCGTTTGAGCTGCACCTCATTTTCATATGAAAGACTGGAATGTGACGTTATGGAAGAGTCCGCCATCACCATACACTCATTACACTACATTAGATAATGTACAGGGGCAATATGCTTTGGTTCTGCAAGAGTGCTCAATGCCTGATTCAGGCAGAGCGGTGTACACAAAGGCACACAATGAAAACCTTGGCAAATTAATTCCGTTGTGACTTAGAGTTTCATGGCTGAACCAATCATCAGACAACGATAATGGAATAGGAGACAGCGCTGGTATATCTAAGTGGAGAGAGGTGTGATAATACGATAGCGAGAGGAGTAATCGCGTGAATGTATACAGGGACAGGCTATTTTAGAGGCAGATGCAGTAGGCGCAGGTCTAGCACTAACAAGTACGCGCTTAATCTCGCTCACACACCACACACACACACACATACTAACACGCACACACATAGTAACACCCACACACATACACACATACACGCTCACATTAACACACACACACACATACACCCACCCACAACACCCTAACTTGCACACGGGCGCACGCACACACAGACACCCACCCACCCACAACACCCTAACTCGCACACGCACAAACACACGCACACACGCATATACACACACCTATAGACACATGTCCACACGCATACACAGGCATCTGTGTTCGTATGACAAATCTAAGCGCTCACAAACTCCTGCAATCACGCGCCTCAAGAACATCCCAGCGCCCTCGGAGAAGGAATACACCAAGAGCCTCCTGAGGCGAGTCGAGGAGGTCATAAAACGAATGCGTTGGAAAGCTCTCTTCACCCTGAAAGGCGCCAACGAAGATAGCGCCAAGAAGACGTACGGCTTCAAAACCGTGAACTGCCCACCCCAGATTGAAGAACTCAAGGCATTCGAGAACGCAATGTATAATATGGTTGAGCATATTACGTTCCGCCGGGCTTCTAACCAGCTTCAAGAGCAGATGAAGAACGACGTGAAGAAGATCAGAGAGTGTGATGATATAGTGGTACCAGCGGACAAGACAAGAAACTTGTACCGAGTATCAGTCCCGCAGTATGAAAAGCTGCTACATGACAACGTGACGAAGCAGTACAAACTCGCCCCAGGCACCGACTACACAACGATTAATGCCGAAGCCCGCGATATAGCTGCCGATCTGCACCTGGATGACCGAATGGAATGTCTGGGCAAGGCACAAGCATTCGTCACATTAAAGGATCATAAAGCCGACTTCCATGACAAGCTGCAATGCAGGCTGATTAACCCTGCCAAGTTCGAAATAGGCGTCGTAAGCAAATCCATACTGGATGGTGTTATCGGCCCCATGCGGAGCAGCGTATGTGAGAATCTGTGGCAGAACATGCAAGCGGTCATTGAGTGGTTCAAGGGCATTGAAGACAAGCCGCGGTACACCTTCGTCGTGTTCGACATCGTCGAGTTTTACCCCAGCATAACGAAAGACCTTCTGCTGGATGCCCTGTCGTACGCCGGGACGCACGCTCCAATGTCCAAGAAGGACATTGAGACGATACTGCACGCACGTAATTCATTGTTTTTCGACGGCGGCAAAGCATGGATGAAGAAGGAGAAGGACGGGTCATTCGACGTAACAATGGGGTCGTACGACGGCGCAGAAGCCTGCGAGCTTGTTGGGGCTTTAATCCTCAGCAAACTCCGTCCACTCCTGGGCAACCAGTGCGTGGGTCTTTACCGTGACGACGGACTAGCGATAATGAAGGACGCCACGGGTCATGATGCCGACCGCACGCGCAAACAGATCATACAGATATTCCAAGCACACGGCTTAAAAATAACAATCGAAACCAACAAGAAGATCGTCGACTACTTGGATGTGACCCTGAATCTCGCCACTGGAACATTCCAACCATACAGGAAACCGAATAGTACACCCCTGTACGTCGATGTGCGGTCCTGTCACCCACCGCAGGTGCTGAGACAAATACCCATTGGCATCAACAAGAGGCTGCAACGTATCTCATGCAATGAGGAAGTGTTCAACGATGCTAAAACGTTATACAAGGACGCACTGGCCTTAAGTGGCCACCCGAAAACCATGACATACAAGGATGAACCGAGCAGCAAGAAGAAAAAAGCGAAGAAAGGGCGCAGCCGCGACGTCATCTGGTTTAACCCGCCGTACAGTACCACGGTCAAAACCAACGTTGGCGCAAAGTTTCTATACCTCGTCAAGAAACACTTCCCTGAAGGGTCGGCGCTACACAAGGTGTTTAACAAGAACACAACAAAAGTAAGCTACAGCTGTATGAAGAACGTAGCGTCGATTATCAAAGGGCACAATGCTGCAAAACTTCACTCGCGACCGCCAGTTGTGCCATGCAATTGTCGGGTCAAGGCGTCGTGCCCCCTCAACGGTGACTGCCAGTCTTCCGACGTCGTTTACGAGGCGCATGTAGCATCCAACGAAGTTAAGACCTACGTCGGCATGACAGCTACCACATTCAAGCAGCGCTACAACAAACACACTTCGGACTTCCGAAATGAAAAGTACGCCGCATCGACTAAGTTGTCCAAGCACATCTGGGATCTGAAAAACGAGAACCGCGGATTCGACATCAGATGGGAGATCAAGGATAGAGCACCTTCATGCAGTAACATCAGCAAGAAGTGTGGCCTATGCTTAACCGAAAAGTTCCACATCCTGAAAGCTTCAAAAGCTACCTCCCTAAACAAGAGAAGTGAGCTGGTATCTAAATGCCCTCACCAGCGCAAGTTTCTGCTGGCCACCCCTATTACATAGACAGCTATGACCGCTGCGGGTTTTTTGACGCGTGATTGCAGGAGTTTGTGAGCGCTTAGATTTGTCATACGAACGCAGATGCCTGTGTATGCGTGTGGACATGTGTCTATAGGTGTGTGTATATGCGTGTGTGCGTGTGTTTGTGCGTGTGCGAGTTAGGGTGTTGTGGGTGGGTGGGTGTCTGTGTGTGCGTGCGCCCGTGTGCAAGTTAGGGTGCTGTGGGTGGGTGTATGTGTGTGTGTGTGTGTGTGTTAGTGTGAGCGTGTATGTGTGTATGTGTGTGGGTGTTACTATGTGCGTGCGTGTTAGTATGTGTGTGTGTGTGTGTGTGTGTGTGTGTGTGTGGTGTGTGAGCGAGATTAAGCGCGTACTTGTTAGTGGTAGACCTGCGCCTACAGCATCTGCCTCTGAAATAGCCTGTCCCTGTATACATTTACGCGATTACTCCTCTCGCTATCGCATTATCACACCTCTCTCCACTTAGATATACCAGCGCTGTCTCCTATTCCATTATCGTTGTCTGATGATTGGTTCAGCCATGAAACTCTGAGTCACAACGGAATTAATTTGCCAAGGTTTTCATTGTGTGCCTTTGTGTACATTAGATAATGTACAGGCAGGTATTGTGGTATACATGTCATGTAATGTGAATCAAGAATAGAACACCTCCACAACACAATGTTGTATGCCTGCACTTCATTGCACTGCTTACTGAAACAGTCAGCTTACCTGATTCCTTGCGTTTGGGTCTGCACCGCTGGATAGCAACAGCTCCACACTTTCGGACTTCCAACAAGCAGCATAATGTAGAGGTGTCTGTTGACACTGAAGGTTGTGAACAAATGAAATCGATAACATACACACATAGCCAGCAATCGCATGTCACCACGTACATTGAAAATCAACATAATTTTGCGAATCGATCTTTTTTTCAGGATCACTTTTCAACGAGGACGAAGCAAAGTCGGCCGAACGAAGCCTAGAGGAAGAAAATCACCCTCTCCACTTCACCATCACGATACTGACATAGATACGAGATGAAACAACTAAAACATCCACAAGAAAACTGTACGGCCATCATCGCGCTGACTTTGGTGTGACTTTGGTCTGAGAATTTCTATCACGATCAAAAATGTACGAGGAGCACTCAAAAATAAGCCACAGACGCACGTTTATCGCTCTCTACTCCTTTTTCAAGGCACAAAAGTCGACTCTCCACTTTCAAACCAGGAAGCAGACATACCAGTGGTCCTTTTCAGCTGCTCCACGAGCGCAGGTTCACCAAGGGGCGCAGAGCAGCATCCATTCCAGAAAAAGAGCTAAAATACGAGTGAGACTGCATGCCTGAGTACATGAGTACAAGTATGAGTACATGCAGAAAATAGTCAATTTCAGCGTTTCTGCTCCAAACAGCAACTAGCTTCGACTAGAAACAAAGATTACACCAAAGGATCAAACAACAACCATTTTCTGCAGTTCTTTTTGCAGTTGGCTTCCTTGTGCTTGGCCCAGCACGCCAAAAACCACACCTCGGAGGAGTACAAAAATTACAACTCTCAGATGTCCTCGATTGCTGGCCATGATACCGTACTAACGCGATTAGAGCCCTCTCCTGAATAGTGCCCTCTCTTGAATAGTGCCCTCTCTTGAATAGTGCCCTCTCTTGAATAGTGCCCTCTCCTGAATAGTGCCCTCTCTTGAATAGTGCCCTCTCTTGAATAGTGCCCTCTCTTGAATAGTGGCCTCACTTGAATAGTGCCCTCTCTTGAATAGAGCCCTCTCCTGAATAGTGCCCTCTCCTGAATAGTGCCCTCTCTTGAGTAGTGCCCTCTCTTGAATAGTGCCCTCTCTTGAATAGTGCCCCACCCCCCCCCCCCGGCCGGGGTTTGTAACCCAGCGCATGTGACACAGCGCATGTGCAAGTTTGGTATTCGTTTGCTAATGTAACGTTACTTGTCCATCTCCTTGCACTGGTGATTTCAGGATCAAATCGCAGTTCTTGTTGCGGCTGAGTCGTGATAGTTTACAGTAAACTTCCGGGTCTGTTATTCTTTGCTTTCTTTGTTTGTTTTTTATGCTTGATGGGGAAAATGTACCAGAACTGAAAACATAGTGCCCTCTCCTGAATAGTGTACTCTCTTGAATAGTGCACTCTCTTGAATAGTGCCCTCTCTTGAATAGTGCCCTCTCTTGAATAGTGCCCTCTCTTGAATAGTGCCCTCTCTTGAATTGTGCCCTCTCTTGAATAGTGCCCTCTCTTGAATAGTGCACTCTCTTGAATAGTGCCCTCTCTTGAAGAGTGCCCTCTCTTGAATAGTGCCCTCTCTTGAATTGTGCCCTCTCTTGAATAGTGCCCTCTCTTGAATAGTACCCCATTTGTGAAGAACGTTGAAAAAACATTGCCTCAGGGGCACTAATCACGCGAGTACGGAAAGTTCAGGATCAGAAAAGATATATAAAAAACCATACTAGTAGCACTGAAACAAACAAAATGCTTTAATTATCGTATGTTTTAAATATAAAAGGATTAACAAACATTCTCTTCAGGGAGTAGCCAAGATCTCTTCCAAAGAGGCTCCCATCTAGCTAGGTTCTCCATGCCAAGTATCAAATCACTGTGGGGAAACACATCTTTTAAGCTCTCACTCGTCTTGATATAAGCAGAGAGATCGCTTTAAATCAAAGAATTGTGGATTTTGTAAGTTTACATGTGGTGAGCTACACTAATCGAATATTGCAAGCTGTACATCATCCACTTGACCAGCACCTAACTGATGACCTGAGTTTGAGATGCACCTCATTTTCACATGAAAGACTGGAATGTGACGTTATGGAAGAGTCTGCCATCACTGTACACTCATTACAATACATTAGATAATGTACAGGCAGATCTTGTGCTATACATGTCATGTAATGTGAATCAAGAATAGAACACCTCCACAACACAATGTTGTATGCCTGAACTTCATTGCACTGCTTACTGAAACAGTCAACTTGCCTCATCCCTTGCGTTTGGGTCTGCACCGCTGGATAGCAACAGCTCCACCCTTCTGACACCCCAGCCACTCTGCGCAGCATGATGTAGAGGCGTCTTTTGACAATGAAGGTTGCGAGCAAATGGAATTGGCCATACAGTACTGTCCGGCGCCGAAGAACGGAGCGCCGAAGGACGGAGCGCCGAAGAACGGAGCGCCGAAGGACGGAGCGCCGAAGGACGGAGCGCCGAAGGACGGAGCGCCGAAGGACGGAGCGCCGAAGGACGGAGCGCCGAAGAACGGAGCGCCGAAGGACGGAGCGCCGAAGGACGGAGCGCCGAAGGACGGAGCGCCGAAGGACGGAGCGCCGAAGAACGGAGCGCCGAAGAACGGAGCGCCGAAGGACGGAGCGCCGAAGGACGGAGCGCCAAAGGATGGAGCGGCGAAGAACGGAGCGGCGAAGGACGGAGCGCCGAAGAACGGAGCGGACGGAGCGCCGAAGGACGGAGCGCCGAAGGACGGAGCTCCGAAGGACGGAGCGCCGAAGGACGGAGCGCCGAAGGACGAAGCGCCGAAGGACGGAGCGCCGAAGGACGGAGCGCCGAAGGACGGAGCGCCGAAGGGCGGAGCGCCGAAGGGCGGAGCGCCGAAGGGCGGAGCGCCGAAGGGCGGAGCGCCGAAGGACGGATCGCCGAAGGACGGAGCGCCGAAGGACGGATCGTCGAAGGACGGAGCGCCGAAGGACGGAGCGCCGAAGGACGGAGCGCCGAAGGACGGAGCGCCGAAGGACGGAGCGCCGAAGGACGGAGCGCCGAAGGACGGACCGCCGAAGGACGGAGCGCCGGAGGACGGAGCGCCGGAGGACGGGGCGCCCAAGAACGGTGCGCCCAAGAACGGAGCGCCCAAGAACGAGCGCCCAAGAACGGAGGGCCCAAGTACGGAGCGCCCAAGAACGGAGCGCCCAAGTACGGAGCGCCCAAGAACGGAGCGCCCAAGTATGGAGCGCCCAAGACCGGAGCGCCCAAGAACGGAGCGCCCAAGAACGGAGCGCTCAAGTACGGAGCGCCCAAGACTGGAGCGCCCAAGAACGGAGCGCCCAAGGACGTAGCGCCCAAGGACGGAGCGCCGAAGGACGGAGCGCCGAAGGATGAAGCGCCGAAGGTCGGAGCGCCGAAGGACGGAGCGCCGAAGGACGGAGCGCCGAAGGACGGAGCGCCGAAGGACGGAGCGCCGAAGGACGGAGCGCCCAAGAACGGAGCGCGCAAGAACGGAGCGCCCAAGTACGGAGCGCCAAAGAACGGAGCGCCCAAGAACGAAAATGATGTGTTTTCATTTCGTGAGCCCCAGCATCAGCAACGTCCTGTCCTGTGCTCCTTTTCTTGCTGATTCCAACGAACTTTGATCGCCCGAAGAGTCGAGGGCCAAACCTGCCTCATCAGTCGCCTCAGAATAACCAACTTCATGGCCAAGTCAAATTTTATGCGTGTCGCCATAGTCTTTTCAGCCACACAGATGACGGTGAGGACACTCCAGTCGAAAGAGAGTAGACAGGCAGTGGAGAGGAGCAATCAGAGGTAGCTGACGATGCTATGTCGCCAAAGACGCCTGCCAAGCGATGCCGAGATAATAAACGTCTTTGAATAAATCACGCGCTATAGCTATAGCGCTCTTCTACAAGAAAATGCATCCGAAAAATATATTCGGCAAAGTGAGCTTTTTCCGAACAAACACGCCGAATCTTCGTGTGCATTTTCGACCTCGCTCCCGCGTACCGAATCTTTTTGCCGAATTTCGGAATGCAAAACCTCACTACTGAAATAACCAACATTCTCTTCAGGGAGTAGCCAAGATTCCTTTCAAAGAAGCTCCCATCAATCTAGTTTCTCCATACCAAGTATCAAATCACTGTGGGGAAACACATCTATAAAGCTCACACTCGTCTTGATAAAAACAGGGAGATCGTTTTAACCCTTTAGAGCCTAAATTATTTCAGGAGACGCATGAAATTCACAAACTCACATTTTCATCTGACTGTAATTTCGATATCCTTTGGAGTATTCCAACAATCTCGGGCTCTATGGAAAGCTCTCTCCAAGACGAACACAGCCATACCCAGTTCGCAATTGATAGAGTCGTAGGAGTAACGCCGCAGCGCGATCCGAGCGCTCCAATGCCAGACCTGCGAGCGCGGTACTAAATTCTCCGCCATTTCAACAATATCGATCGCAGAACGGTCAATTTTTTTGCAGGAGAGACCTTCAAAATGCAGCTTGAAAATGACGTATGCCAGTCGTGCACGCGTCGCCAGCGAGTCAGGGAAAATCCCTTGCTGGCGTTTCAAATTTTACGCCGCGCGAGCCGACTTGCCCACGCGAATTTCGTTCGAGTGTCGTAACTCTGCGCTATGACCTCGGATCGTCTTCGGGTTTTTTTGAGCCGACAGCTGAGGCTTTTCTGATACGATTAGACCTTTCGTTTGTTGAATTCGAACAAGGATTGACTGAATGACGAAAGTTTGAAGTCACCTCAGCATGCACTGTACAGTCTGGCGGATATATCCGTCCTATAGGCGTTATAGGGTTAAAACAAAGAATTGTGGATTTTGTCAGTTTACATGGTAAGCTACACTAATCGAATATTCTAGATGTGAATGAAATAACAAAACATTCTCTTCAGGGAGTAGCCAAGATCTCTTTCAAATTGTGTATTTTGTAAGTTTACATATGGTGAGCTATACTAATCTCAATTTCATGCTGGGCATCATCCACTTGACAAGCACCTAACTGATGACCTGCGTTTGAGCTGCACCTCATTTTCACATGAAAGACTGGAATGTGACGTTATGGAAGAGTCTGCCATCACCGTACACTCATTACACTACATTAGTTAATGTACAGGCAGATCTTGTGGTATACATGTCATGTAATGTGAATCAAGAATAGAACACCTCCACAACACAATGTTGTATGCCTGCACATCATTGCACTGATTACTGAAACAGTCAGCTTACCTCATCCCTTGCGTTTGGGTCTGCACCGCTGGATAGCATCAGCTCCACCATTCTGCCCGACTTGTCACTCTTCGCAGCATAATGTAGAGGCGTCTTTCGCCACTGAAGGTTGTGAACAAAAGCAAATAAGTTCAAGATCAGAAAAGATTTGAATACCACACTAGTAGCTGAAACAAACATACTGCTTCAATATTCGAATGTTCTAGATGTGAATAAAATAACAAACATTCTCTTCAGGGAGTAGCCAAGATATCTTTCAAAGAGGCTCCCATCAATCTAGTTTCTCCATGCCAAGTATCAAATCACTGTGGGGAAACGCTTCTTTTCAGCTCACACTCGTCTTGATAAAAAGTTCTAGTGCTGAAAAGATTATATCGTTTACTCCTTACTCGATAAGAAATAGATCGAACGGTTATTTCAATTTTATCGGCTAAACGAGTAGAATGGAACTTACGCTCGGTACGATATTTCCCTCTTTCGGGGGTCGCACAAAGCGTGCATGCATCGAAAGTGTTGCGAGTACGACACGAATATGTACATGACTGTACACTTGCAACATCGATGTACGTGTAAAGTACAAGCGCGATCTGAGTAACATCGACGCGATCACCGCTACGTCGCCGTCTTTTGAGCTGACTACTTTTCTTACATACAGCATGCAGGACGGGCAGGCTCAGTATGAATCTACACTAGCTGCAGGGGCTGGAGTTCCCTCCACGTGCGAGTAGTCTTGAGCTAAAGACAGTAAAGTGGTCTTCAGTTTCATGTTTTCCGTTCTGTCGACGGTTCCCGAACCAGTTTGCTCGACGACGAGCTAGGCCTGGCGTCTGGGTCTATTTTGAGCATAGACAGGAAAAGCAACTAGTTACTTGTTGGTGTGCCTTAAGTCAGCTCATCCGTCAAAATCCGCCGATCTGCACCCCTGGCCGGCTTCTCTGACTCGATCGTTGAAGTCAGCGAAGTCACGGGCGAAGGGCACCATCAGCTCTGGGGTTGCAACCAGTGAGGTGCCTCTGTCTTGTCGGTATTCGTCTGGTCAGTCCGAACAGCTGACGGACTATTTGCGGGATCATCGGATCTATGCGCCCGCTTTCCGTCGTTGGCGATGTTGCACTCGTAATATTTTGGAAATTCACAGAATGTACATGATTGTACTGATGTAGTTACAATAATAATCGTTTAGCCGATAAGCCGATCGTTATGGTATCAGCTAAGCCACTAAGGAAAAAACTGTTATCGTTTCAGCACTAATAAAAACAGAGAGATCGTCATAACACAAGGAATTGTGTATTTTGTAAGTTTACATATGGTGAGCTACACTAATCGAATATTGCATGCTGGGCATTATCCACTTGACCAGCGCCTAACTGATGACCTGCGTTTGAGCTGCACCTCATTTTCACATGAAAGACAGGAATGTGATGTTATGGAAGAGTCTGCCATCACCGTACACTCATTACACTACATTAGATAATGTACAGGGGCAATATGCTTTGGTTCTGCAAGAGTGCTCAATGCCTGATTCAGGCAGAGCGGTGTACACAAAGGCACACAATGAAAACCTTGGCAAATTAATTCTGTTGTGACTTAGAGTTTCATGGCTGAACCAATCATCAGACAACGATAATGGAATAGGAGACAGCGCTGGTATATCTAAGTGGAGAGAGGTGTGATAATACGATAGCGAGAGGAGTAATCGAGTGAATGTATACAGGGATTGGCTATTTCAGAGGCAGATGCAGTAGGCGCAGGTCTAGCACTAACAAGTACGCGCTTAATCTCGCTCACACACCACACACACACACACACATACTAACACGCACACACATAGTAACACCCACACACATACACACATACACGCACACACTAACACACACACACACATACACCCACCCACAACACCCTAACTTGCACACGGGCGCACGCACACACAGACACCCACCCACCCACAACACCCTAACTCGCACACGCACAAACACACGCACACACGCATATACACACACCTATAGACACATGTCCACACGCATACACAGGCATCTGCGTTCGTATGACAAATCTAAGCGCTCACAAACTCCTGCAATCACGCGTCTCAAGAACATCCCAGCGCCCTCGGAGAAGGAATACACCAAGAGCCTCCTGAGGCGAGTCGAGGAGGTCATAAAACGAATGCGTTGGAAAGCTCTCTTCACCCTGAAAGGCGCCAACGAAGATAGCGCCAAGAAGACGTACGGCTTCAAAACCGTGAACTGCCCACCCCAGATTGAAGAACTCAAGGCATTCGAGAACGCAATGTATAATATGGTTGAGCATATTACGTTCCGCCGGGTTTCTAACCAGCTTCAAGAGCAGATGAAGAACGATGTGAAGAAGATCAAAGAGTGTGATGATATAGTGGTACCAGCGGACAAGACAAGAAACTTGTACCGAGTATCAGTCCCGCAGTATGAAAAGCTGCTACATGACAACGTGACGAAGCAGTACAAACTCGCCCCAGGCACCGACTACACAGCGATTAATGCCGAAGCCCGCGATATAGCTGCCGATCTGCACCTGGATGACCGAATGGAATGCCTGGGCAAGGCACAAGCATTCGTCACATTAAAGGATCATAAAGCCGACTTCCATGACAAGCTGCAATGCAGGCTGATTAACCCTGCCAAGTTCGAAATAGGCGTCGTAAGCAAATCCATACTGGATGGTGTTATCGGCCCCATGCGGAGCAGCGTATGTGAGAATCTGTGGCAGAACATGCAAGCGGTCATTGAGTGGTTCAAGGGCATTGAAGACAAGCCGCGGTACACCTTCGTCGTGTTCGACATCGTCGAGTTTTACCCCAGCATAACGAAAGACCTTCTACTGGATGCCCTGTCGTACGCCGGGACGCACGTTCCAATGTCCAAGAAGGACATTGAGACGATACTGCACGCACGGAAGTCATTGTTTTTCGACGGCGGCAAAGCATGGATGAAGAAGGAGAAGGACGGGTCATTCGACGTAACAATGGGGTCGTACGACGGCGCAGAAGCCTGCGAGCTTGTTGGGGCTTTAATCCTCAGCAAACTCCGTCCACTCCTGGGCAACCAGTACGTGGGTCTTTACCGTGACGACGGACTAGCGATAATGAAGGACGCCACGGGTCATGATGCCGACCGCACGCGCAAACAGATCATACAGATATTCCAAGCACACGGCTTAAAATAACAATCGAAACCAACAAGAAGATCGTCGACTACTTGGATGTGACCCTGAATCTCGCCACTGGAACATTCCAACCATACAGGAAACCGAATAGTACACCCCTGTACGTCGATGGGAGGTCCTGTCACCCACCGCAGGTGCTGAGACAAATACCCATTGGCATCAACAAGAGGCTGCAACGTATCTCATGCAATGAGGAAGTGTTCAACGATGCTAAAACGTTATACGAGGACCCACTGGCCTTAAGTGGCCACCCGAAAACCATGACATACAAGGATGAACCGAGCAACAAGAAGAAAAAAGCGAAGAAAGGGCGCAGCCGCGACGTCATCTGGTTTAACCCGCCGTACAGTACCACGGTCAAAACCAACGTTGGCGCAAAGTTTCTATACCTCGTCAAGAAACACTTCCCTGAAGGGTCGGCGCTACACAAGGTGTTTAACAAGAACACAACAAAAGTAAGCTACAGCTGTATGAAGAACGTAGCGTCGATTATCAAAGGGCACAATGCTGCAAAACTTCACTCGCGACCGCCAGTTGTGCCATGCAATTGTCGGGTCAAGGCGTCGTGCCCCCTCAACGGTGACTGCCAGTCTTCCGACGTCGTTTACGAGGCGCATGTAGCATCCAACGAAGTTAAGACCTACGTCGGCATGACAGCTACCACATTCAAGCAGCGCTACAACAAACACACTTCGGACTTCCGAAATGAAAAGTACGCCGCATCGACTAAGTTGTCCAAGCACATCTGGGATCTGAAAAACGAGAACCGCGGATTCGACATCAGATGGGAGATCAAGGATAGAGCACCTTCATGCAGTAACATCAGCAAGAAGTGTGGCCTATGCTTAACTGAAAAGTTCCACATCCTAAAAGCTTCAAAAGCTACCTCCCTAAACAAGAGAAGTGAGCTGGTATCTAAATGCCCTCACCAGCGCAAGTTTCTGCTGGCCACCCCCATTACATAGACAGCTATGACCGCTGCGGGTTTTTTGACGCGTGATTGCAGGAGTTTGTGAGCGCTTAGATTTGTCATACGAACGCAGATGCCTGTGTATGCGTGTGGACATGTGTCTATAGGTGTGTGTATATGCGTGTGTGCGTGTGTTTGTGCGTGTGCGAGTTAGGGTGTTGTGGGTGGGTGGGTGTCTGTGTGTGCGTGCGCCCGTGTGCAAGTTAGGGTGCTGTGGGTGGGTGTATGTGTGTGTGTGTGTGTGTGTGTGTTAGTGTGAGCGTGTATGTGTGTATGTGTGTGGGTGTTACTATGTGTGTGCGTGTTAGTATGTGTGTGTGTGTGTGGTGTGTGAGCGAGATTAAGCGCGTACTTGTTAGTGCTAGACCTGCGCCTACAGCATCTGCCTCTGAAATAGCCAATCCCTGTATACATTTACGCGATTACTCCTCTCGCTATCGTATTATCACACCTCTCTCCACTTAGATATACCAGCGCTGTCTCCTATTCCATTATCGTTGTCTGATGATTGGTTCAGCCATGAAACTCTGAGTCACAACGGAATTAATTTGCCAAGGTTTTCATTGTGTGCCTTTGTGTACATTAGATAATGTACAGGCAGGTATTGTGGTATACATGTCATGTAATGTGAATCAAGAATAGAACACCTCCACAACACAATGTTGTATGCCTGCACTTCATTGCACTGGTTACTGAAACAGTCAACTTACCTGATCCCTTGCGTTTGGGTCTGCACCGCTGGATAGCAACAGCTGCACACTATCGGACTTCCAACAACGCGCCGCAGCATAATGTAGAGGTGTCTTTTGACACTGAAGGTTGTGAACAAATGAAATCGATAACATACACATACCGTACTCACGCGATTAGAGCCCTCTCCTGAATAGTGCCCTCTCTTGAATAGTGCCCTCTCTTGAATAGTGCCCTCTCTTGAATAGTGGCCTCACTTGAATAGTGCCCTATCTTGAATAGAGCCCTCTCCTGCATAGTGCCCTCTCCTGAATAGTGCCCTCTCTTGAGTAGTGCCCTCTCTTGAATAGTGCCCTCTCTTGAATAGTGCCCCACCCCCCCCCCCCCCCCGGCCGGGGTTTGTAACCCAGCGCATGTGACACAGCGCATGTGCAAGTTTGGTATTCGTTTGCTAATGTAACGTTACTTGTCCATCTCCTTGCACTGGTGATTTCAGGATCAAATCGCAGTTCTTGTTGCGGCTGAGTCGTGATAGTTTACAGTAAACTTCCGGGTCTGTTATTCTTTGCTTTCTTTGTTTTTTTTTATGCTTGATGGGGTAAATGTACCAGAACTGAAAACATAGTGCCCTCTCCTGAATAGTGTACTCTCTTGAATAGTGCACTCTCTTGAATAGTGCCCTCTCTTGAATAGTGCACTCTCTTGAATAGTGCCCTCTCTTGAATAGTGCCCTCTCTTGAATTGTACCCCATTTGTGATGGACATTGAAAAAACATTGCCTCAGGGGCACTAATCACGCGAGTACGGAAAGTTCAGGATCAGAAAAGATATACACAACCATACTAGTAGCTCTGAAACAAACAAATTGCTTTAATAATCGTATGTTTTAGATATAAAAGGATTAACAAACATTCTCTTCAGGGAGTAGCCAAGATCTCTTCCAAAGAGGCTCCCATCTAGCTAGGTTCTCCATGCCAAGTATCAAATCACTGTGGGGAAACACATCTTTTAAGCTCTCACTCGTCTTGATATAAGCAGAGAGATCGCTTTAAAGCAAAGAATTGTGGATTTTGTAAGTTTAGGCCAAGTAAAAAAAAAAGCTAGATGATCGTCCCCGTCCGCCCCAGTTTTTGTCAGCGCCCCAAGAAATATTTTATTTTTTAAATCGTGAGTTTTACTATATGGACCACATACTACTAGTATATCACAATGTCAGTATCAATCTGCTGAAGAAAGAAAAAGAAAAAAAGAAAAAAAAAGAAAAAAAGAGAAAAAAAACCTTGATGTTGTTGTGTACACTGTGTGCATGAGAGGGTAAAAAGTAAAAAAATAAAAATAAAATCCTCCCGCCCTCCCCGATTTTTCCAAAAAAAAGGACGATCATCTAGTAATTTTTTTTACTCGGCCTTACATGTGGTGAGCTACACTAATCAAATATTGCAAGCTGTACATCATCCACTTGACCACTTGACTTGACCAGCACCTTAGCGGCCGTCGTGAGTTCCCTTCGGGAACGGATACGATAATTTCCTTTTTTTTTTATTACTTTAACTGATGACCTGAGTTTGAGATGCACCTCATTTTCACATGAAAGACTGGAATGTGATGTTATGGAAGAGTCTGCTATCACCGTACACTCATTACACTACATTAGATAATGTACAGGCAGATCTTGTGGTATACATGTCATGTATTGTGAATCAAGAATAGAACACCTCCACAACACAATGTTGTATGCCTGCACTTCATTGCACTGGTTACTGAATCAGTCAACTTACTTCATCCCTTGCGTTTGGGTCTACACCGCTGGATAGCAACAGCTCCATACCTCGGCTATCAAAGCCACGCTGCGCAGCATAATGTAGAGGCGTCTTTTGACACTGAAGGTTGTGAACAAAAGCAAATAAGTTCAGGATCAGAAAAGATGAACAACACCACACTAGTAGCACTGAAACAAACATACTGCTTCAATATTCGAACATTCTAGATGTGAATGAAATAGCAAAAGATTCTCTTCAGGGAGTAGCCAAGATCTCTTCCAAAGAGGCTCCCATCTAGCTAGGTTCTCCATGCCAAGTATCAAATCACTGTGGGGAAACACATCTTTTAAGCTCTCACTCGTCTTGATATAAGCAGAGAGATCGCTTTAAAGCAAAGAATTGTGGATTTTGTAAGTTTAGGCCAAGTAAAAAAAAAAGCTAGATGATCGTCCCCGTCCGCCCCAGTTTTTGTCAGCGCCCCAAGAAATATTTTATTTTTTAAATCGTGAGTTTTACTATATGGACCACATACTACTAGTATATCACAACGTCAGTATCAATCTGCTGAAGAAAGAAAAAGAAAAAAAGAAAAAAAAAGAAAAAAAGAGAAAAAAAACCTTGATGTTGTTGTGTACACTGTGTGCATGAGAGGGTAAAAAGTAAAAAAATAAAAATAAAATCCTCCCGCCCTCCCCGATTTTTCCAAAAAAAAGGACGATCATCTAGTAATTTTTTTTACTCGGCCTTACATGTGGTGAGCTACACTAATCAAATATTGCAAGCTGTACATCATCCACTTGACCACTTGACTTGACCAGCACCTTAGCGGCCGTCGTGAGTTCCCTTCGGGAACGGATACGATAATTTCCTTTTTTTTTATTACTTTAACTGATGACCTGAGTTTGAGATGCACCTCATTTTCACATGAAAGACTGGAATGTGATGTTATGGAAGAGTCTGCTATCACCGTACACTCATTACACTACATTAGATAATGTACAGGCAGATCTTGTGGTATACATGTCATGTATTGTGAATCAAGAATAGAACACCTCCACAACACAATGTTGTATGCCTGCACTTCATTGCACTGGTTACTGAATCAGTCAACTTACTTCATCCCTTGCGTTTGGGTCTACACCGCTGGATAGCAACAGCTCCATACCTCGGCTATCAAAGCCACGCTGCGCAGCATAATGTAGAGGCGTCTTTTGACACTGAAGGTTGTGAACAAAAGCAAATAAGTTCAGGATCAGAAAAGATGAACAACACCACACTAGTAGCACTGAAACAAACATACTGCTTCAATATTCGAACATTCTAGATGTGAATGAAATAGCAAAAGATTCTCTTCAGGGAGTAGCCAAGATCTCTTCCAAAGAGGCTCCCATCTAGCTAGGTTCTCCATGCCAAGTATCAAATCACTGTGGGGAAACACATCTTTTAAGCTCTCACTCGTCTTGATATAAGCAGAGAGATCGCTTTAAAGCAAAGAATTGTGGATTTTGTAAGTTTAGGCCAAGTAAAAAAAAAAGCTAGATGATCGTCCCCGTCCGCCCCAGTTTTTGTCAGCGCCCCAAGAAATATTTTATTTTTTAAATCGTGAGTTTTACTATATGGACCACATACTACTAGTATATCACAACGTCAGTATCAATCTGCTGAAGAAAGAAAAAGAAAAAAAGAAAAAAAAAGAAAAAAAGAGAAAAAAAACCTTGATGTTGTTGTGTACACTGTGTGCATGAGAGGGTAAAAAGTAAAAAAATAAAAATAAAATCCTCCCGCCCTCCCCGATTTTTCCAAAAAAAAGGACGATCATCTAGTAATTTTTTTTACTCGGCCTTACATGTGGTGAGCTACACTAATCAAATATTGCAAGCTGTACATCATCCACTTGACCACTTGACTTGACCAGCACCTTAGCGGCCGTCGTGAGTTCCCTTCGGGAACGGATACGATAATTTCCTTTTTTTTTATTACTTTAACTGATGACCTGAGTTTGAGATGCACCTCATTTTCACATGAAAGACTGGAATGTGATGTTATGGAAGAGTCTGCTATCACCGTACACTCATTACACTACATTAGATAATGTACAGGCAGATCTTGTGGTATACATGTCATGTATTGTGAATCAAGAATAGAACACCTCCACAACACAATGTTGTATGCCTGCACTTCATTGCACTGGTTACTGAATCAGTCAACTTACTTCATCCCTTGCGTTTGGGTCTACACCGCTGGATAGCAACAGCTCCATACCTCGGCTATCAAAGCCACGCTGCGCAGCATAATGTAGAGGCGTCTTTTGACACTGAAGGTTGTGAACAAAAGCAAATAAGTTCAGGATCAGAAAAGATGAACAACACCACACTAGTAGCACTGAAACAAACATACTGCTTCAATATTCGAACATTCTAGATGTGAATGAAATAGCAAAAGATTCTCTTCAGGGAGTAGCCAAGATCTCTTTCAAAGAGGCTCCCATCAATCTAGTTTCTCTATGCCAAGTATCAAATCACTGTGGGGAAACACATCTTTTAAGCCCTCACTCGTCTTGATATAAGCAGCGAGATCGTTTTAAATCAAAGAATTGTGGATTTTGTAAGTTTACATGGTGAGCTACACAAATCGAATATTGCATTCTGTACATCATTCACTTGACCAGCACCTAACTGATGACCTGTGTTTGAGCTGCACCTCATTTTAACATGAAAGACAGGAATGTGACGTTATGGAAGAGTCTGCTATCACCGTACACTCATTACACTACATTAGATAATGTACAGGCAGATCTTGTGGTATACATGTCATGTAATGTGAATCAAGAATAGAACACCTCCACAACACAATGTCGTATGCCTGCACTTCATTGCACTGGTTACTGAATCAGTCAACTTACTTCATCCCTTGCGTTTGGGTCTACACCGCTGGATAGCAACAGCTCCATACCTCGGCTAACAAAGCCATTCTCCGCAGCATAATGTAGAGGTGTCCTTTGACACTGAAGGTTATGAACAAAAGCAAATAAGTTCAGGATCAGAAAAGATTTCAATACCACACTAGTAGCACTGAAACAAACATACTGCTTCAATATTCGAATGTTCTAGATGTGAATAAAATATCCAACATTCTCTTCAGGGAGTAGCCAAGATATCTTTCAAAGAGGCTCCCATCAATCTAGGTGATCCATACCAAGTATCAAATCACTGTGGGGAAACACATCTATAAAGCTCACACTCGTCTTCATAAAAACAGGGAGATCGTTTTAAATCAAAGAATTGTGGATTTTGTAAGTTTACATGGTGAGCTACACAAATCGAATATTGCATGCTGGGCATCATCCACTTGACCAGCACCTAACTGATGACCTGTGTTTGAGCTGCACCTCATTTACACATGAAAGACTGGAATGTGACGTTATGGAAGAGTCTGCCATCACCGTACACTCATCAAGATCGGCAGTCAGCCTACCAAGATGCACGGCTCTCAACGATTGCCTGTCTCAAAACTGCCAAGAGTGCTTTCATGGCAAAACTGAGACAGAAAATGACCTCAAAGCAGCTGCCACCCAGTGACTGGTGGCGCACCGTCAAGCGTGCCTCTGGCAATGGGCGTAGTCAATCTGTTCCTACATTACGTGATCCCGATGGACGTACACAGCCAGCGCAGACAAAGCAGAATGCATGGCCCGCTATTTTGCAAGCAAATGCAGTCTCGCACAAGATGACCTGTCCGCCCCATTCCCATATGTCAGACCTCGAACTGACCAGGCTCTTTCGGACGTCCGTTTCCGCGTCGCTGCTGTTGAACGCACCCTTCGCCAGCTCAACCCATCAAAGGCAACCGGGCCGGATAGGATACCGGCACGAGTGTTGAAAGCCTGCTCTGCTGAACTGGCGCAACCGCTTTCCATACTGTTTACCCAATGCTTCCAAACTGGGATACAGCCCAAGACATGGAAGATTGCCAACATAGTCCCTATATTCAAACGGAAATCAAAGTCTCTACCCTCCAATTACCGTCCAGTTTCGCTCTTGTGTATTCTGTCCAAGGTGATGGAGACAATCATCAACAGAACAATCACAAATTTCCTCGAGTCGAACAACGTCTTCTCCACCAGACAGTTTGGATTTCGCCATGGTCATAGTGCAGCCGACCTCCTTACCAGCCTCCACCACCAGTGGCTGCATACAGCCGGGGAGAAAGGCGCAGCACGCATACTCGCCATTGACATCGCCGGTGCGTTTGATCGCGTATCACACCCCGGTGTGCTACACAAGTCCGACGTATACGGCCTGCGTGGGCAACTGCACCAGTGGCTCAGCAGCTACCTCAGTGAACGCTACCTTCAAGTGGTCATTTGTGGCCAGACATCCTCAAGGCTCCCAATTCAGGCTGGAGTCCCCCAGGGCAGTATTCTGGGTCCGACCCTCTTCCTCATGTACGTGAACGACTGCGAGGACCACGTACCAGCCGGTGCTGACCTAGCCTCGTTCGCAGACGACACTACGCTGTATGCCAACATCACCCCCACCACCCAAGAAGATACCACCCAAGCCCTCCAGCTAGCAGTCAACAACATCTCCCGCTGGGGTCAAGAATGGAAAATAAAATTTGAACCAGCCAAATCCCAGGCACTGACCGTCAGTTTCCACCGCACCCAATGGGACATGCCACCGATTGACTTCAACGGATCAAATGTGACGGAACAGGAGGAGCTCAAAATCTTGGGCATCAGTTTCGATGGTCAGCTTACCTTCCGGCGCCACCTTCGTACCGTAGCCCTCCGGGCAACACAGCGACTTGGTGCTTTGCGTAAGGCTTTCCACCTCCTAGACGTGCCCGGTCGCATCCAAGCCTACAATGCTTTTGTGCGCCCAGTGATGGAGTACTGCCCTATTGTCTGGATGGGAGCGGCCCCATCCCATCTTGCAAGACTCGACCGTGTGCAAGCTCGGGCCATCCGTGCCATCGCCCCAATGTGTTGGCTGCCGAGTCTTGCTCTTCGTCGGATGGTTGCAGCACTTTGCCTCCTGTACAAGATGCATTGTCCGGATGCGCATCCCCTTCTACAGAGGATGCTGCCACCCCAGCAGCCCCAACACCGACCAGTCCACTCCACCCGTAGTACATTCCAGAGATGTAATACTCACGCACACCAACTGGCCAATGAACTTCCAGTCCGTTCCCGAAACAACCTGTGTCGAGCCTACCCTCACGCAGTTGTCCCCGTCTGGAACCAGCTGCCCGCCGGAGTCTTCTCTGGTCCTTTCTGCACCAAGAACTTGCAACACTTCAAAGTTGCAGCCAACCGCTATTTGAAGACCAACGACTGGTCGTGGGCACATGACCATCTCTGATCATCAGCATCATATCTGCCTCACCCCATGACTTCCAAATTCCGCTCCACATACTATTCCCAATAACGTCTGTTCTTCTTTTCTCTCCTTCTCCTCCGAGCACTGTCTGTCTTATCATTCCCCTCCTTCTAATGTACTGTCTCTCCTCCTAACATTTCGTATCATGTACCTGTCACTCCTTTCATTTTTCTTCTCTTTTTTTTTGGTGCGTTTTATGTCCCCATGACGTCGAGACCTCAGGTCGGCTGAGGGCAAAAAGCCTCACCATCACTATGCTCCCACTATGCAATTTTTTGTCTTTGCCTGTGAGCTGTGATCATTGTAAAAAAAAAAAAAAAAAAAAAAAAAAAAACACTACATTAGATAATGTACAGGCAGATCTTGTGGTATACACGTCATGTAATGTGAATCAAGAATAGAACACCTCCACAACACAATGTCGTATGCCTGCACTTCATTGCACTGCTTACTGAACCAGTCAACTTACCTCATCCCTTGCGTTTGGGTCTGCACCGCTGGATAGCAAGAGCTTCACCCTTCTGCCCAACTTGTCACTCTCCGCAGCATAATGTAGAGGCGTCTTTCGACACTGAAGGTTGTGAACAAAAGCAAATAAGTTCAGTATCAGAAAAGATATACAATACCACACTTGTAGCTGAAACAAACATACTGCTTCAATACTCGAACATTCTAGATGTGAATGAAATAACAAAATATTCTCTTCATGGAGTAGCCAAGATCTCTTTCAAAGAGGCTCCCATCAATCTAGTTTCTCCATGCCAAGTATCAAATCACTGTGGGGAAACGCTTCTTTTCAGCTCACACTCGTCTTGATAAAAAGTTCTAGTGCTGAAACGATTATATCGTTTACTCCTTACTTACTCGATAAGAAATAGATCGAACGGTTATTTCGATTTTATCGGCTAAACGAGTAGAATGGTACTTACGCTCGGTATGGGATTTCCCTCTTTTGGGGGTCGCACAAAGCGTGCATGCATCGAAAGTGTTGCGAGTACGACACGAATATATACATGACTGTACACTTGCAACATCGATGTACGTGCAAAGTACAAGCGCGATCTGAGTAACATCGACGTGATCACCGTTACGTCGCCGTCTTTTGAGCTGACTACTTTTCTTACATACAGCATGCAGGACGGGCAGGCTCAGTATGTGTCTACACTAGCTGCAGGGGCTGGAGTTCCCTCCACGTGCGAGTAGTCTTGAGCTAAAGACAGTAAAGTGGTCTTCAGTTTCATGTTTTCCGTTCTGTCGACGGTTCCCGAACCAGTTTGCTCGACGACGAGCTACACCTGGCGTCTGGGTCTATTTTGAGCATAGAAAGGAAAAAGCAACTAGTTACTTGTTGGTGCGTCCCCAAGTCAGCTCATCCGTCGAAATCCGCCGATCTGCACCCCTGGCCGGCTTCTCTGACTTGATCGTCGGAGTCAGCGAAGTCACGGGCGAAGGGCACCATCAGCTCTTGGGTTGCAACCAGTGAGGTGCCTCTGTCGTCAGTTTAATCCGACGAACTGCGGCTCTCCTCGCCACTCCACACAACAACCAAAAGACTCGTGCACACTGGGAGAGAGAGCGTTTTCTCGAACTTGCTTTCAGTAAGGGGACTGGAGAACTGCGCTCCAACAAAACGGACAAGAGAATATATTATGGGGACGTGGAGAAAAGAGGGGAAAAAGTGGGGTGAGGGATACTAAAGAGGTGCCTGTGCAAAGTACAACAAGGCCTGAACAGGACGGGAGACAAAGACGAACGACGGGGAAATACGACGGACACAAGACGGCAACCAGACAAATACAACGGAGACAAGACGAGAAAATGCGTATGCAACGGGGACGAGATGATAAATAATGCATACGGAGGGGACAGAAGACGGTGCAGCGGCATGTACTAAGCATTCCAAGACGGCGCAGCGGCGTGTACCACGGGTCAGCAGCATGTACGACACAGAGACACATACGCAGCCACGTGTACGACAAAAGAGACACAAGCGCAGCCACATGTACGACAAAAGAGACACAAGCGCAGCCACATGTACGACAAGAGACACCCGCGCAGCCGCATGTACGACACAGAGCTACAAGCGCGACCACATGTACAACACTATCCCCAACCAAAAAAAAACATCCACTCCTGTGGATGGAAGTGTATATATAAAAAAACAGGAGAAGACAGACCGGAGAAGAAGACAGAAAGACCGGGGAAATGAAATGTGAAACAACATAAATAGGCGACAATAAAACACAAAAGAAGTGGGGTCACGACTGTTGAACGGATGACGAGTAGGCCAGGAGGGTTAACACCAGTCGGGAGCCCCGCAAAACTGTGCATCAATCAAATGGAACCTGCAAGCAACAGATTTTGCAGAGGACCCCGGCTGGCGAGCTGTTCGACCTGTAGTTGTCCCTTTGGATCTTGATTATTTGAACAGCACCAACCTAGTACGCCACCCACCCAACAGTCGAGACAAACAAAATTACACATGCAAGAGAAAAAATGCAGCTTACGCAAGATCGTTATAGCAATAAATGTCCACCAACGGAACAACATCGGATAAGTCCTCCAGGACAGGAGGCGTAGCCGGCCGCGGTGCAGGAGAAGAGGGTGCGGATAGTGCTGACAGTGAATCAGGTGACATGCATGGTGCTGTGTGCTGTGCTGCCCGGCGGACTCTGCGGCGCTGTCTCGAGCGGCGAGACCGACGGCGCACACGGCGAAGCAACGGGAGTGCTGGAGGTGCCGGTGGACAGAGCGGGGGAGGCAACGGAGCAACCGGTAGAGAGCACTCCGACCCCGTCATGGCAAAATAGATAGACGTCGGGGCCGTGGCGGCGCGATAACTAGAACGAGCAAAAAAATGACAAAAAAACAACCGAAACAACTGGAGCACGCAGCCTCAAGCAATCACCACCCCTTCCACGGAAGCTGACCCTGTCCTGCCTCTAAGGCGACGTAACCCCCAGGCGACAACACACATGAACGTCTGGGTCGGGGTGTACCAGGTCGGGGCGGGGACGGAGGGTAACCCGGAGGAGACGGGGGCGTACCCGGAGGGGAACCCGCAGGAGACGGGGGCGTACCCGGAGGGGAACCCGGGGGTGAAGGAGGAGGGGTGGGGACCGAACCCGGGGGCTGAACCAGAACAGGAGCCGGAGCCACAGGGTGGGGTGCACCAAACGGGGCAGGCAAAAACATGGCTGGACCCCCCATAGATGGCATCGCCGTAATTCCAGGCGGAGACACTCCCTGCTGTACCCCTGGGGGAACCACTACCTTACCGTGGACAGCCCGTAACCGATCGGTGTGTACCGTTAAATGCTTAGCATGGCGGGCCGAAGGAGGGGGTCCCACCCGTACAATGGAACACACCACTCCCTTAATTACTTCTACCTGCCATGGCCCAGTCCAGGGGCGAAATAGCTTAGGGCTGGCACCCGGGGGCGGAACTGCATGGAGCCAGACATAGTCACCTGGTTGAAAACTGGGGGGTTTCACCCGCCTATCATAAGTAGATTTAACCACCCGATGTGCCACTCCCAGGCGATCCCGGACTACACCAAACGCCCTAGCCAAAGATGACCGCAAATTTGTGATATATGCGGGCAGAGGCGTAACTTGAGGGACCCCCGGGGCAGGGAGAAAAAGATCAAGGGGTAAACGGGCCTCCCTCCCAAATAGCACAAAATGAGGGGTGAATCCCGTAGCACGGTGGACACCCGTATTGTAAGCAAATTGTACCAGAGGAAGGTGGCGGTCCCAGGATGTTTGGTCGTCCGCGACATAGGCCCGGAGGGCCACCTGAATCGTGCGGTTTGCCCTCTCGACAAGACCATCTGACTGTGGCCGGTAAGGGGTGGTGCGGGACTTACAAACCCCCAACAATTTACATAAAGAGGAGATTAGGCGGCTCTCAAAATTAGGGCCCTGGTCCGAATGTAATTGGCAGGGGACTCCAAACTTCAAAAATACCCGGTCAACCAAACGGTCTGCTACGGTCTCGGCCTTCATATCCGGGAGGGGAATAATTTCTACCCACTTAGAAAAATAGTCTGCTACCACTAACACATACTTATTACCACGAGCCGTGAGGGGAAGGGGTCCCATGATGTCCATCGCCATAACTTCAAATGGGGCACCTACGCAAATAGTACCAAGCGGGGCTTTCACAGCCCTGGGCGGATCTTTACCGCGCTCGCAAGTCGTGCAGCTTTTGCAATAGAGGGCCACATCCACGGACATCCCCGGCCAATATGCTACCGATCTTAAACGGGCTAATGTACGATCCTGGCCAAAATGGCCAGAAGTGCGGCCGGCGTGCGCCTCATTTAGAAATTTGGTGTGTAAAACTGCCGGAACTACTAATTGCCGTGCTAGCGATGGCAGTGTTTCGCGGTAGAGAACTCCCTCGGTCAGAGCTAGGTTCTCAGTCTGTGACATGAGGGCGCGCACGACGGGGCTGTCACCATCCTGAATGGGCTGAGCGGCCGCCAGCCGATCTACAACTACATGGATATCCGCATCCGCCTGTTGTGCCTGAAGAATTTCGGAGACATCTGGCGTAGAAAAACTAACTGCATTTACGGACGGCTCCGCTTCGAACTGGCGACTCAAACCGTCGGCGTTTCCATGTTGCAACCCGGGGCGATGCTGTACAGTGAAATGAAACTCAGCCAGCGTGCTCAGCCATCGCGCAGTCTGTCCTGTTGGATTTTTAAAATTCATTAGCCATCTCAGGCTACCATGATCTGTGCGCAACAAAAATGGCCGTAGCAGAATGTATGGTCGAAAAGTGCGGCACGCCCAAACTACCGCCAGCAACTCCAATTTGGTGATGGTATAGTTCTTTTCCGCCGCCGAACACGACCGACTTATGTACGCTATGGGGCGCTCCAGGCCATCATTAGTCACCTGTGACAGTACCGCACCTAGGCCTGAAACGCAGGCATCCGTATCCACAATAAATGGGCGCGAAAAGTCTGGAAAGGCCAAAATGGGTGCTGAACTAAACGCTGTGCACAACTTTTTGAACGCTAACTGATGAGCCTCTGCCCAGACAAATGGAGTCTCTTTTCGTTACAGGTCATGCAGTGGATGGGCCACCGACGCAAAATGCGGAATAAACCGTCGATAGTATGACGCAAATCCGAGAAATGATTGTAGAGACTTAAGAGACGCTGGCTGCTTCCATTCCTGTACCGCTTTAACTTTTCCCGGGTCCGTGGAAATCCCCTTAGCCGAGACTACATGCCCTAAGAAATGGACCTCGGCCAGCAGCAAATGGCACTTTCTAGGTTTTATCTTAAGCTTCGCTCGTCGTAATGCAGTTAGCACAGCCTCTAAACGGCGCAAGTGCTCCGCGAATGTGCGAGAAAACACAATAACATCATCGAGATACACTAGACAGTAGAGGGGGGAAAGGCCCCGCAGCACGGCATGCATCATCCGCTGGAACGTGGCAGGAGCATTGCAGAGGCCAAAGGGCATGCGGCGGAATTCAAATAGCCCCTGTGGAGTGATGAACGCCGTTTTCTGCTGATCCTTCCCCTCCACTGGCACCTGCCAGTAACCCGACTGTAGGTCTAACGTGGAAAAATACTGTGCCCCACCCAGCCTATCCAGGGTATCGTCAATCCTAGGCAAGGGGTACGAATCCTTGTGCGTGGCATCATTTAATTTACGGTAGTCGACACAGAACCTAATTGAACCATCTGTTTTTTGTACCAATACAATCGGACTAGCCCACGGGGACACGCTAGGGGATATTATACCCTTGTCTAACATTTTCTCGACCTCTTCGGCCACAATCTTGACCCTGGGAGGGGGGAGGCGTCTCGGCCCCTGACGAATTGGGCGTGTAGCGCCGGTGTCGATGCAATGAGTCAAGAGGGGGGTCTCTCCCACATCACAATCATCTACGGCTATGACATCATTAAAACCGTTCAGTAAACTGACCAGAGCTTGGCGTTGTTCCGCAGTGCCAGCAAACCGAGAGAGATCAAAGCGATCCGCTGGTGTTGAATCGGACGTCGCTGACTGCACGCCCACTGCCACACCCTCGTCTGTTGAGACATCCGGCCGAGGGTCCTCCACCGGTAGGAACTGCCCTAGATGCATACCACGCTCCAACCACACCGGCACATCAGACACATTGGTTACACACAAGGGGACACTACCCGAAGGAGATACAGCGCACACAGCACGGGGTAGGGCATACCCCAAATCAGAATGAACAACAGCTTCTACCAGACCAATCATCTCGGGAGGGGCGTTGACTGCGCCCCGCAACAGCAATTGTGACCATGGGGGAATTTCCACAGCAGACACTAAGGAGATGGAGTAGCCCAGTTCCGGCGGAGCAGCAGGGGGGCAGACCCTGGGAGGGACCACCGGGGTAGGGGAATACACAGGCCACGTGATGCCACCCCGAACAATAAACGCAATGATAAAACTAAAAGCTAACGCGAGTTTGCACACTAATATCAGCCGAGCTGAACCGCAAACACTTGCTATTAACAGCAACAGGGTCGAAAACCCAAACCACAACGTGCTCTGCACGTCACCGCCGAACCTTGCGGCATGAACCGGAACTACATCCCCCCGTCCCCTAGACAATGGGACGGTGTTACCTGCTAACTTTAAACGGGGTGACCCATCCAGGTGTAGCGAAAACCCATGGGCTGCCAAAATGTCGGCACCCAACAAACACTCCTCAGTTAACCCCGCGACAGCTAAAACACGGGCGGAAAACGAAATATTGCCAAACTTAAATGTCAGGGGTAAACAGCCCTTCATGTCAAGGGTACCCCCGCCTGCAGTGTACAGTGCCGACACACCCAACTCTGAAGCGGGTCGTAATAAATGCTCCGCATGCAATTTCTGCACTACCGCAAAATTCACCAAGGTAATGGCCGCACCCGTGTCGACCAGAAATGATACCACCGAGTTACACACATCAGTACTCAACTTACCGGGCGCGAAGAGACTGGTGCCAGCACGGTGGATGTAGAAGGGTACCGCCTCGGTGACGGCCGTGACAGCACCCACCGGGAGGGCATCCGAGGACTCGACCGGAATAGACGGAGGGGAGGGCAGTGGAGCGGCAGGTGGAGTGCAGAGATGGGCCTCCGCCGGAGAATGCTCGAAGGCACATATGTCACACACATCACACGCATCAGACACAGAGGCAGCATTAGCAGGACATCCTACATCTGGGACCGTAACAATACCACCCTCAGGCGCCGGGGACAACAGGTCCGGACACTCGGGCGCAGCCGAAGCTGCCAAATTCTCGGTTTCCCCCAAAGACAAAGGGAGGAAAGGGTCACACAATTCCATGGTATCATCGGTAAAGATCGGCAAAGCCACAGCAATACACTCCTCATCACATTCATCAGTTGGCTGTGGTTCCATGGTCGAGGCGGCAGGAAGACCCGCACCAGCCGCCTCGCCTAGTTTAAATCCTGTTGAGGGTGGGGGAGCCTGCCCGACCCCTGTTGTGGCTTTTCGGGCGCTTGGCGCTTAGTGGAAAACGGTTGTCGGCGGCCTTGCGGCTGCGGCCGCCACTGCCGGCACTCGGCCCTAATATGCCCTAACTTCCCGCATTCATAACAACGGGGACCCTTACCCCTCTGGTAGGACCCCGGATCACCCCTGGTTTCACACAAAGTCTCCAGGAGACGGGTTTGGGTGGCGCACAATTTCTCGAGACTATGGAGCCGAGACTCTACCTCAGGTGCCGCGGCCGCTACGAAGACCGGCTCGCTAGCGGGGTGAAGCCTATCCTGAGTTTCCAGAACTACCGCTTTCTGGACCGCTTTCAGTAAGGTTGTTGGTTCGTGGTCCCCCACCCGTCGTCGCATTTCTGGGTCTAATGCATCAAGAAAAGCCCGGACTGAAACCGTGTCCGCAATGGTGGAGGGGGCCCCAGGGTAGGCTTTTGCCACTAAGACTTGGATGGCGTCCCCGAGTTCCGTTAGGGTTTCGCCCACCCGCCGTTTGCGAGCTTGGAGCTCGGTTTGGCGTAACAGTTCCTTCCCCTGGTCCCCAAACCTAGCCTGCAATGCCTGCTCAATGGTTCCTCTATCTCCGCGTTCGGTTGCGGTCAGGGACTGCAGCATCAAAGCAGCACCGCCGGTGAGGCTTTTACACAGGATAACCCGGGCCATTAGCTCGAGTTTTTGCCTTGACTCTGCATCCACTGTATCGTTTGGTTGCGCCACTGGAACATACCCATTAGCTTCTAGGCATAGCACAAAGTCGTTTAGGAAGGACTGCAGGTCCTCCCTTGATGAGCCCGCAAATGGCTTGGGCATGAGCCACTAGCCCGCGCCCTCAACAGTGACCTTACTCTGGGCTGGCTGAGACATAATGACTATACCAGTACGAGACCCTGATCAGGTGGTGTTACCAAACAGATTTATTTATTTTTTTTCAAAGTGTCAAACTATTTTTTTTTTTCCAAAAAAATGTCTAACAACACGGCATTCTGCAGGGCAAGTAGTTACAACGACACAAGATTTACGAAAGACAGATTGCACTGTTAAACCTACTGGCTGGAGCTACTGGAAAGTAGGCCTATAAAATTACGGTACATACGCTCAATGAACTATCGAAGGGACCACGGACCTAAGCCGGGACCCAATACCATGCACGCTTGGACAAGAAACGACACACAAAGCAAACTAGCAAGACCGGGTGCTCACCTGAGGAGGCGCGCCAATGCGGGGCCTGGTCGTTCGTAGTACGTCATCGATACGGAGGTACGGCGAGGAGAAGAAGAATACGAGCTGACGGCGACGCGTCGACGAGCTTCAGGGTCGTGGATTCGATTTGTTGGGCGCCAAATGTCGTCAGTTTAATCCGACGAACTGCGGCTCTCCTCGCCACTCCACACAACAACCAAAAGACTCGTGCACACTGGGAGAGAGAGCGTTTTCTCGAACTTGCTTTCAGTAAGGGGACTGGAGAACTGCGCTCCAACAAAACGGACAAGAGAATATATTATGGGGACGTGGAGAAAAGAGGGGAAAAAGTGGGGTGAGGGATACTAAAGAGGTGCCTGTGCAAAGTACAAGGCCTGAACAGGACGGGAGACAAAGACGAACGACGGGGAAATACGACGGACACAAGACGGCAACCAGACAAATACAACGGAGACAAGACGAGAAAATGCGTATGCAACGGGGACGAGATGATAAATAATGCATACGGAGGGGACAGAAGACGGTGCAGCGGCATGTACTAAGCATTCCAAGACGGCGCAGCGGCGTGTACCACGGGTCAGCAGCATGTACGACACAGAGACACATACGCAGCCACGTGTACGACAAAAGAGACACAAGCGCAGCCACATGTACGACAAAAGAGACACAAGCGCAGCCACATGTACGACAAGAGACACCCGCGCAGCCGCATGTACGACACAGAGCTACAAGCGCGACCACATGTACAACACCTCTGTCTTGTCTGTATTCGTCTGGTCAGTCCGAACAGCTGACGGACTATTTGCGGGATCATCGGATCTATGCGCCCGCTTTCCGTCGTTGGCGATGTTGCACTCGTAATATTTTGGAAATTCACAGAATGTACATGATTGTACTGATGTAGTTACAATAATAATCGTTTAGCTGATAAGCCGATCGTTATGGTATCAGCTAAGCCACTAAGGAAAAAACCGTTATCGTTTCAGCACTAATAAAAACAGAGAGATCGTCATAACACAAGGAATTGTGTATTTTGTAAGTTTACATATGGTGAGCTACACTAATCGAATATTGCATGCTGGGCATTATCCACTTGAGCAGCGCCCAACTGATGACCTGCGTTTGAGCTGCACCTCATTTTCACATGAAAGACTGGAATGTGATGTTATGGAAGAGTTTGCCATCACCGTACACTCATTACACTACATTAGATAATGTACAGGCAGATCTTGTGGTATACATGTCAAGTAATGTGAATCAAGAATAGAACACCTCCACAACACAATGTTGTATACCTGCACTTCATTGCACTGCTTACTGAAACAGTCAACTTACCTTATCCCTTGCGTTCGGGTCTACACCGCTGGATAGCAACAGCTCCACACTTCTGCCCGACTTGTCACTCTCCGCAGCATAATGTAGAGGCGTCTTTTGACACTGAAGGTCGTCAACAAAAGCAAACAAGTTCAGGATCAGAAAAGATAAACAACACCACACTAGTAGCACTGAAAAAAAACATACTGCTTCAATATTCGAATGTTCTGGATGCGAATGAAATAACCAACATTCTCTTCAGGGAGTGTTCCTGAAACAGTCAGCTTACCTCATCCCTTGCATTTGTGTCCGCACCGCTGGATAGCAACAGCTCCACACTTTCGTCACCCTTGCCACTCTTGGCAGCATAATGTAGGGGCGTCTTTTGACACTGAAGGTTGTAAACAAAAGCAAATAAGTTCAGTATCAGAAAAGATATACAATACTACACATACTAGTAGCACTGAAACAACACATACTGCTTCAATATTCGAATGTTCTAGATGTGAATAAAATAACAAACATTCTCTTCAGGGAGTAGCCAAGATATCTTTCAAAGAGGCTCCCATCAATCTAGTGTCTCCATACCAAGTATCAAATCACTGTGGCGAAACGTTTCTTTTCAGCTCAGACTCATCTTGATAAAAACAGAGAGATCGTTATAAAACAAGGAATTGTGTATTTTGTAAGTTTACATATGGTGAGCTACACTAATCGAATATTGCATGCTGGGCATTATCCACTTGACCAGCGCCTAACTGATGACCTACGTTTGAGCTGCACCTCATTTTCACATGAAAGACAGGAATGTGACGTTATGGAAGAGTTTGCCATCACCGTACACTCATTACACTACATTAGATAATGTACAGGCAGATCTTGTGGTATACATGTCATGTAATGTGAATCAAGAATAGAACACCTCCACAACACAATGTCGTATGCCTGCACTTCATTGCACTGCTTACTGAACCAGTCAACTTACCTCATCCCTTGCGTTTGGGTCAGCACCGCTGGATAGCAAGAGCTTCACACTTCTGCCCGAGTTGTCACTCTCCGCAGCATAATGTAGAGGCGTCTTTCGACACTGAAGGTTGTGAACAAAAGCAAATAAGTTCAGTATCAGAAAAGATATACAATACCACACTAGTAGCACTGAAACAAACATACTGCTTCAATATTCGAATGTTCTAGATGTGAATAAAATAACAAACATTCTCTTCATGGAGTAGCCAAGATATCTTTCAAAGAAGCTCCCATCAATCTAGTTTCTCCATGCCAAGTATCAAATCACTGTGGGGAAACGCTTCTTTGCAGCTCACACTCGTCTTGATAAAAAGTTCTAGTGCTGAAACGATTATATCGTTTACACCTTACTTACTCGATAAGAAATAGATCGAACGGTTATTTCGATTTTATCGGCTAAACGAGTAGAATGGTACTTACGCTCGGTACGATATTTCCCTCGTTTGGGAGCCGCACAAAGCGTGCATGCATCGAAAGTGTTGCGAGTACGACACGAATATGTACATGACTGTACACTTGCAACATCGATGTACGTGTAAAGTACAAGCGCGATCTGAGTAACATCGACGCGATCACCGTTACGTCGCCGTCTTTTGAGCTGACTACTTTTCTTACATACAGCATGCAGGACGTGCAGGCTCAGTATGAATCTACACTAGCTGCAGGGTCTGGAGTTCCCTCCATGTGCGAGTAGTCTTGAGCTAAAGACAGTAAAGTGGTCTTCAGTTTCATGTTTTCCGTTCTGTCGACGGTTCCCGAATCAGTTTGCTCGACGACGAGCTAGGCCTGGCGTCTGGGCCTATTTTGAGCATAGACAGGAAAAGCAACTAGTTACTTGTTGGTGCGTCTCAAGTCAACTCATCCGTCGAAATCCGCCGATCTGCACCCCTGGCCGGCTTCTCTGACTCGATCGTCAGAGTCAGCGAAGTCACGGGCGAAGGGCACCATCAGCTCTGGGGTTGCAACCAGTGAGGTGCCTCTGTCTTGTCTGTATTCGTCTGGTCAGTCCGAACAGCTGACGGACTATTTGCGGGATCATCGGATCTATGCGCCCGCTTTCCGTCGTTGGCGATGTTGGACTCGTAATTTTTTGGAAATTCACAGAATGTGCATGATTGTACTGATGTAGTTACAATAATAATCGTTTAGCCGATAAGCCGATCGTTATGGTATCAGCTGACCCATTAAGGAAAAAACGGAATCGTTTCAGCAATAATAAAAACAGAGAGATCGTTATAAAACAAGGAATTGTGTATTTTGTAAGTTTACATATGGTGAGCTACACTAATCGAATATTGCATGCTGTACATCATCCACTTGACCAGCGCCTAACTGATGACCTGCGTTTGAGCTGCACCTCATTTCCACATGAAAGACCGGAATGTGACGTTATGGAAGAGTCTGCCATCACCGTACACTCATTACACTACATTAGATAATGGACAGGCAGGTATTGTGGTGTACATGTCATGTTATGTGAATCAAGAATAGAACAACTCCACAACAAAATGTCGTATGCCTGCACTTCATTGCACTGATTACTGAACCAGTCAACTTACCTCATCCCTTGCGTTTGGGTCTGCACCGCTGGATAGCAACAGCTCCACACTTCTACCAGAGAACCTGCTCTTCGCAGCATGATGTAGAGGTGTCTTTTGACGCTGAAGGTTGTGAACAAATGAAATCGATAACATACACATACCGTACTCACGAGATTAGAGCCCTCTCTTGAATAGTGCCCTCTCTTGAATAGTGTCCTCTCTTGAATAGTGCCCTCTCCTGAATAGTGCCCTCTCCTGAATAGTGCCTCTCCTCCCGGCCCGGGCTTGTAACCCAGAGCATGTGACACAGCGCATGTGCAAGTTTGGTATTCGTTTGCTAATGTAACGTTACTTGTCCATCTCATTGCACTGGTGATTTCGGGATCAAATCGCAGTTCTTGTTGCGGCTGAGTCGTGATAGTTTACAGTAAACTTCCGGGTCTGTTATTCTTTGCTTTCTTTGTTTTTTATGCTTGATGGGGTAAATGTACCAGCACTCAAAACATAGTGCCCTCTCTTGAATTGTGCCCTCTCTTGAATTGTGCCCTCTCTTGAATAGTGCCCTCTCTTGAATAGTAGCCCATCTGTGAAGGACGTTGAAAAAACATTGCCTCAGGGGCACTAATCACGCGAGTACGGAAAGTTCAGGATCAGAAAAGATATACAAAACCATACTAGTAGCACTGAAACAAACAAATTGCTTTAACCCTTTGCCGGTCTAACTCAATGTATGTGAGGGGTGGTCACGCAAATACATGTACACACAACCAGCAATAACTAAAGAACCATGTGATGCAGGTATGGGTAAACCATATATTTTCAAAATCTGTATGCCTGAACGCGTCCAGAAAATTCAAATATGACTAGGTCCAGGCAAGGATAGGGCCCATGGTAGCCCTTCAAGTTGAGAGAAAATACAATTGCGAATGAAATACACGAATATCACAGCACGAAGGGCGTACCAAGTTCGTGATGGAGCTGAAGTCGTACGATAAACAATCAGGTAAGGGCTACGTCTTTACAAGAAATGTAGGCTCTCTACAATACCGCCATTGAACACCAACACCTCGCCATCGGCGATACGCCAGCAGCAGCAATTCCCATTCCACTATATCGCAGTTTCCGTTTGTTCATCTCAGCGCTGCTCGCGTCAGATTCACTCTCGCTCAGATAAGTACTCAGGCGCGAGCTTACGCATGCCGTGATTCTCACGGCCAGGCGAATCAGCTGATCGCACCTGACGAGTCCTTGTGACAGTCGCTGTCGCCGTGTCGGCAGCAAGACGGCTTCCTCTCTGTTTGGAGAATTTTGTTTCTTCATTCGTGGACGATATATTTTTGAACTAGCAGGACTCAACGGAGCTCTTTTTTTCAACACACTACACTGCAAAACCTCCCGGGAGATCCAGCCTGGACTGGTGATGTTACTGCTCTAAGAACGCTTGTCAAACACGGCCCCAAGATATGCACTCGCATTCTCGAAATGCGCGCATGGCGGATGGTCGTCTTTTCCAATTTCAACAAACTTCAGTCGATCGATACGGCAAAAATTTGTGAGCATTGTTGTTTTGTACATCATCAGAAAGCCTTGGACCTCAGCTACGCGTAGAGCGCCATTTTAGCTGTCTCCTAGCAACAAGACCCCAAAAAATGAGGGCCAAACGTACCGATACTATAGTATCGATTCGCTTATGGTAGACCGGTAAAGGGTTCATAATCGTATGTTTTAGATATAAAAAGATTAACCCTTTAAGAGCCGCCCCATACTTGAATGCGTCGTAAACGACGCATTCAAATGCAAAACTTCAAAAGATCGTAACTCAGTCTAATCTCGCTCAAATCCATCGATCGAAATATCCAGGGCGAAGAGAAAACTCTCACCTGTCGGGAGAAACAATCCGCGAAGCGCTGCGAGCAATGTATCGTGAGATAAATCACTCGTAAGTTGAGCCGCGATCGCGGCAATTTCAAAAGCGCGCAGTGCAACTTTAGTATTGAGATTTTTGAGACTTTTCGTCACGCTGGTTTACTCGAATTTGCACGGGTTTCACTGTTGATATTGTCAAGAGTACACAGCAAAAAACTGGAACTCCACGATCGAGTAGAATGAAATATCTGGAGCGGGACGCAATTGGACGCATTTGGGGCATTTTTCGTACTGTCGCTGCGATCTAGCGCTGGATAGACGGTGTGCTGGCTATCATGATCGACCTCATTCTCTTCCTCTCGCGGAGACCGTTCCAGGAAGCCCTAGATTGTGAGGATTGAGTTAGTAGAACTGAAGCTATGATCCGAGGAACATGAAGAAATGCAGATTTTTGAAAATTTCCTGTGGCTCTTAAAGGGTTAACAAACATTCTCTTCAGGGAGTAGCCAAGATCTCTTTCAAAGAGGCTCCCATCAATCTAGGTTCTCCATGCCAAGTATCAAATCACTGTGGGGAAACACATCTTTTAAGCTCACACTCGTCTTGATATAAGCAGAGAGATCGTTTTAAATCAAATAATTGTGGATTTTGTAAGTTTACATGTGGTGAGCTACACTAATCGAATATTGCAAGCTGTACATCATCCACTTGACACCAGCACGTAACTGATGACCTGCGTTTGAGCTGCACCTCATTTTCACATGAAAGACTGGAATGTGACGTTATGGAAGAGTTTGCCATCACCATACACTCATTACACTACATTAGATAATGTACAGGCAGGTATTGTGGTGTACATGTCAAGTAATGTGAATCAAGAATAGAACAACTCCACAACACAATGTCGTATGCCTGCACGTCATTGCACTGCTTACTGAAACAGTCAGCTTACCTCATCCCTTGCGTTTGGGTCTGCACCGATGGATAGCAACAGCTCCACACTTCTACCAGGGAACCAACTCGCCGCAGCATGATGTAGAGGTGTCGTTTGACACTGAAGGTTGTGAACAAATGAAATTGATAACATACACATACCGCACTCACGCGATTAGAGCCCTCTCCTGAATAGTGCCCCCCCCCCCCCCGGCCCGGGCTTGTAACCCAGCGCATATGACACAGCGCATGTGCAAGTTTGGTATTCGTTTGCTAATGTAACGTTACTTGTCCATCTTATTCCCCTGGTGATTTCAGGATCAAATCGCAGTTCTTGTTGCAGCTGAGTCGTGATAGTTTACAGTAAACTTCCGGGTCTGTTATTCTTTGCTTTCTTTGTTTATTATGCTTGATGGGGTAAATGTACCAGCACTGAAAACATAGTACCCTCTCTTGAATAGTACCCTCTCTTGAATAGTGCACTCTCTTGAATAGTGCCCTCTCTTGAATAGTAGCCCATCTGTGAAGGACGTTGAAAAAACATTGCCTCAGGGGCACTAATCACGCGAGTACGGAAAGTTCAGGATCAGAAAAGATATACAAAACCATACTACCGTATTTTCCGGAGTATTACGCACTTTAGATGTGCTATTTTAGGCCCTAAATCGCAGGTGCGCACCATGCTCCGGATATGAAATGCATGTACTTCAATGAAGATTGAAGTGCGCACCCCCAATGAAGATTGGGGGTGCGCGTTATACAAAGGTGCGCACTATACTCCAAATATACGGTAGTAGCACTGAAACAAACAAATTGCTTTAATAATCGTATTTTTAGATATTACAAACATCTTGAAAGTTTTTGTCTTCACAAGTATACTTTCAAGCCTTCTCGTCAGGTGAAATACAGGCAAGGGAAAAGGAACAGGAACAGTGGATTAAATACAGTAAGAAGGTGGTAAAACAGCGCAAAAAAAGAAGATAGCTAAAGTAAACAGCGAAAATTGCAATAATGATACAAAGGTGCAAATGCGAGAAAACTCAATAAGCGTGACATGTAGTGCGACAACCAGAGACAACCACTAGACATACATGTAACTAACGAGCCTGAAGTGTGTCCTTTTTATGAGTATTATCGCATTTTTGTCTCAGAGGAAACTATTTTTAGATATAAAAGGATTAACAAACATTCTCTTCAGGGAGTAGCCAAGATCTCTTTCAAAGAGGCTCCCATCCATCTAGTTTCTCAATGCCAAGTATCAAATCACTGTGGGGAAACACATCTTTTAAGCTCTCACTCGTCTTGATATAAGCAGAGAGATCGTTTTAAATCAAAGAATTGTGGATTTTGTAAGTTTACATGTGGTGAGCTACACCAATCGAATATTGCAAGCTGTACATCATTCACTTGACCAGCACGTAACTGATGACCTGCGTTTGAGCTGCACCTCATTTTCAGATGAAAGACAGGAATGTGACGTTATGGAAGAGTCTGCCATCACCGTACACTCATTACACTACATTAGATAATGTACAGGCAGATCTTGTGGTATACATGTCATGTAATGTGAATCAAGAATAGAACACCTCCACAACACAATGTCGTATGCCTGCACTTCATTGCACTGGTAACTGAAACAGTCAGCTTGCCTCATCCCTTGCGTTTGGGTCTGCACCGCTGGATAGCAACAGCTCCACCCTTCTGACACCCCAGCCACTCTGCGCAGTACTGTACAAGCAGAACTATTCGTCTGGAATTTAATTTTGTCTTTTTCGTCCAACGAGCTGTTGGACTAAATTAAATGCTGGACTAATATTAATTTGTCCAGCTTTTCAATACACTCTTATGATCCATGGACGAAATTTACAACCGGACGAACTCCCTTTCTTTGGAGTTGGACGAAATTATTGACCGACGAAATTTTCTGCTTATACAGTATAATATAGAGGTGTCTTTTGACACTGAAGGTTGCGAGCAAATGGAATTGGCCATACAGTACTGTCCGGCAACGGAGCGCCGAAGGACGGAGCGCCGAAGGACGGAGCGCCGAAGGACGGAGCGCCGAAGGACGGAGCGCCCAAGTACGGAGCGCCCAAGAACGGAGCGCCCAAGAACGGAGCGCCCAAGAACGGAGCGCCCAAGAACGGAGCGCCCAAGAACGGAGCGCCCAAGTACGGAGCGCCCAAGAACGGAGCGCCCAAGTACGGAGCGCCCAAGAACAGAGCGCCCAGGAACGGAGCGCCAGGCTCCGTTCTTGGGCCAGGCTAGTATTTCATCAAGCACAGCATAACAATGTATACACGGTGACTGAACTGCGCATACACTGTAATACATGAAAATAAGAACGGTCTAGGCTAGGAGGCTGACCCTCCAGTTCTTCGGCGACCGACAGCACTGCATACACCAAGTTCGGAATCAGAAAAGATATAGGTTACACTCAGTATGGCATAATTTCTCTATTTGTCGTCACTGTCTCTATATGGCATCACCTGTTTACTTCGTGCCTATACGGCTTAACTGCGACTTTCTCTATATAACTCCAGTTCATTCTCTATATAACTCCAGACGCGACTTTCCCTATATATCTCCACTCGGGTTGAGACTTTCTCTGTATGACTCCAACTCAGGTTTTGTATGGAGAAGTTGGCAATCTGAGTTGGAGTCATACAGAAAAAGTCTCAACCTACCAACTTATAATAGAGAAAGTCGCAGTGAAGCCATATAGGCACGAAGTAAACAGGTGATGACATATAGAGACAGTGAACACATACAGAGAGCTGGTGGAATACTGAGTGCTACATATATACAACACCATACTGCAGTCCTGGCCAGAGAAATCCAACCTGATAAATACAACAGAGCCTGGTGCTACACAGCGCTAGCATCACACACACACACCACTGTGCGCGCTGGAGTACGGCACTAGTCTTTACTCATTAGGTCGGATTTCTCTGGTCAGAACTAACGTCAGGCGAAATAGCATGTCATCGTACATTTGAGATCAGCGGGAAGAAGATGACGACGTCCACTAATTTAGTATCTGTGCACACGAATCTGCTGTGTGTGTGACTCTGTGTGTCAGCTATGATATCATCTTCTGTGGTTCCATGCCTAGCATGTACGTCAGAACCATCCTGCAAAGTTTGAATGACGTAGGTTGAGCGATCGCTCCGCGAAATATACTTTTTGAAATTCTCTTCATAGTATATCTTCCACCATTGAAATTTCGAATTTCTTCAAAAAAAGTGCTGAGAGGGGTGGCTTGCAACCTCGATATGGATTGTTCCAGGCATGCTTTGGAGCCATCTTCTGTTGAAGTAGTGGTGGGGATCTGCCCTGCAACTGCTACAACAAAAAATGATTCGATCTGAGAAAGGGTGAGACCGCGAATCTCGGTTGAATATTGAGTATTTCAAGCCTTTTCACGACGAAGATGGAGTTCTTTTTGGAGATGGACGTCGCGGCAAAGGACATGGTGTCCGACGTCTGGCGTCTGGTGAAGCCAGGGATCATTTGTCCAGTCAGGTTGGCAGCCTAACCGTCGGTAAGCTTGTGTTTGGATCCCGTTCTGCTCGATGTGGTAGATCACAAACAATTTGATATTGCACAAATTGATCTCAGCATCGTGCGTACGGTATTTTTATATTCAGAAAATCCCAAAGTGTCTCTGTGTGGCCGTCCTATGCCACAAGAAACTCCAATCAGGCTCCTATGTCCTCTGCCTTCATGATTGAATGTCCACTTCGTTTGAACAACGAACACAACAATCGAGGACGGCTTTGCAATGAAAAATACAGCTATACTGGAGCTGAAAAAAAGAAGAAAAAAACGTGCTCAGGATGAGACTCGAGTACACGCATACTCTCCCAGCAGGTGAAACGCAAATTTTTGTGAAAAATGCGTGACGCCGACTGACCAGTAATTTCGCCTGACGTTGATGACATAGAGTTTTACTGTTTCCCTGGTAAACTAACAAAACAGCCCAGTAGACCAAGGGGTCTGTAACTTGGAGGTCCAGTGAGGAGAGATACGCTTGTACTAGAGTTAGTACTTACATTTGAGAGCACAGGCTTTCCATAATCAGCATCAGAAAACAATCGCACCCGGTCGACCGTCTGCAGCCTTGGATGAAGATACTGTTGGTGACAAATCATTAAAAAGCAGAGAATACGAGTCACAGTGAAAAAAAAAGAAAAAAACGTGCTCAGGATGAGACTTGAGTACACGCATACTCTCCCAGCAGGTGAAACGCAAATTTTTGTGAAAAATGCGTGACACCGACTGACCAGTAATTTCGCCTGACGGTAGAACTAAGTAGCACAGAAACAAACATGGCGTTTGAATGTTTGCATGTTCTTGAAGGGAATACATTAAAGTTGGGGTCCAGTGAAGAACGTAAAATTTAATGTCAGTGCCTGGGGAGTTTGGGACGCTGCGTTGAAATGTCTGTGTCCAAGGAGACTGCAGTCCATAGTTTGTCATATATTCCCAATCGAACGTGAGCGCGCAGCGTACCCAATCCGGTGACAACGTCATAGTGTGCAGCCAAGTACACTATAACCTGGTGTAAGCGACCTCTCGTTTTAGTAACCACCTGCTCTTAACGACCGTTTTTCCATGCACGGACAGTTCTACACAGACACTGTGGGACCTGGTTCTAAAGACCACCTGGCTTTAACGTCCGCTTTTCCTTGCACCGTGGGGTGGTCGCTTAAACTAGGTTTTACGGTAGCACCAAATGTAAATTTCCACAATCCAACCTCTTCTCAATGGGCATGAGACATACCGCTCAGTGTCAGCACCCTCGCCTCTCACATTAAACTTCCAGACGAATACATACATTATACCACATTTCGTCGCGACCGACCACCTCATGATAACAAATCCGGTACGGCAACCAGAGGATATGGTGGAGTTGCGATTCTTGTCCGGCAAAATCGCTTCGGAAGAGTCCAAGTTCGCGACGACCTTGCTCGTCCGACCTGTGAATCCGTATGGGTTGAGCTTCACCCAATCTTAGGCTCCCCGACACCCATCCTCGTCTGCTGTACCTACCGTCCGCCCTCAGTCAAAACCACGGAAATAGACCACTTCTGTGATATGCTAGCTAGTGCTTTGGTAATCGTTCCCATGTCATCGTACCATGTCATAATGGCTGGGGACTTCAACAGTAAGCACAAACGGTGGTGCCCATCGGATTTAACGTGTCCTGCTGGGGCGGCACTTTTTCGCACCCTTACCTGCTTCGGTTTGGATCAGCTGGTGCAGAGTCCAACGCACACAACATCTTCCGGAACACAGTCATGTCTAGACCTTGTCTTCACGAACCAACCCCTGCTGGCGACGGACGTTCACACAGCTTGCGCTCTTGGCTCCTCGGACCATCTCATGGTTTCATGCCAGTTCGCCGTCTCATTGCCCTCGGATCCAGACCTGCCACTTCCTTCTCGCAAACCGTTCCCATATCGCTTCCGTCGAGTTCCCTCTCAGTGCTGGGACTCTATGAACGCTGATTTCTCCTGCCACGACTGGTCGTTTCTGCAACCAGAAGGCTCTCCAACTGTTGACGCCGCGGTAGATCACTTTGCAGCCGTCCTTGAACGAGGGTTCCAACAGCACCTCTCTAACTTTGCTATCGGCTACAACAACCGGAAACATTCCAACCCAACATCCTCGACATCTAGTCCCCCATGGGTGACACGGTCCCTCGTATCTGAAGTGAAGCGCAAGCGTGATCTTTTCAGCATCTACAAGAAATTCCCAACGCCGGTTAACCGGGAGGCTTACCGAGTTCAACGCAACTTCGTCAAGCACCTTTCTCGTACCTCACACCGCTCCTTTCTAAACTCTCTTTCTGCAACACTCTCCTCCCCCGATCGCCCATCACTCCACCAATTCATTCGCAACCAGTGCCGCGGGACCTCCCGCGCGCCAATCCAGTACCTGACGGACTCCCATGGCAACCGCCAGCACGATGTGAAGGCGATTGCAGACACACTGAACAAGCAGTTTGTTTCATCCGGCATTCCGGAAGATCCGAATTGGGTCATTCCATCGCTGTCCCCAGCCCCTGAACTTAGCGCACCACTCACACGCGTCGTTACCACGACTGCTACCGTCTGTAAGCACCTCAAACTCCTGAAGAATTGTAAGTCCCCTGGCGAAGATGGCATACCCAATGAGGTTCTCAAATGGCTTGCGCCATCTCTGTCCTATCCCTTGTGCCTGCTCTTTAACATGTCATATCGTACAGGAGTATTTCCGTCCGTCTGGAAATCTGCTGTTATCGTCCCGATCTATAAGAAAGGCCAACGCTCTCAGGCTGGCAACTACAGACCAATCTCTCTCCTTCCCGCTGTGTCCAAGGTCTGTGAACGTATTTTCTTTGAGTCTCTGTACTGCCACGTCACCCCAGCGCTTTCACCATCTCAATCCGGTTTCTGCCGTGGAGACTCCACAACTTTCCAACTAACACGTCTAGTACAAGACATCTACACCCAGCGGAACCTCAGGCGGCATGTTGGCATCGTGTTCTTTGACCTAGCGAAAGCTTTCGACACCGTCTGGCATCGTGGTCTGCTTGCAAAGCTAGAGTCCGTCTTCTTGGTACACGGTCCAGCCCTGCAATGGCTCTCATCCTATCTTTCCTGCCGCCACCAGACTGTCAGAGTATCTACCTCCCTATCAGACCCATTACTAGTCGTGTCTGGGGTACCCCAGGGGTCCATACTTGGGCCGCTCCTATTTCTACTGTACGTTAATGACTTGCCAGCCCTTGTACCAAATGTAAGTCTTTTTGCTGACGACACTGCTCTGATGTGCTCCGACAGCTCGGCAGACAACCTCACGGCCTCCATGCAGTCCGGGGTCAACGCTACAGTAACATGGATGGAAACCTGGAAACTGAAGCCTAACCTCGCCAAAACCGAGGCCATGTTCTTCTCTCCCTCGCCCCCCACTCAACTTCTGTATTTTCCTGGTCTAAATAGTACACCTATTAAAGTTGTTAACGAGCACAAGCACCTGGGCGTTATTCTCGACCGCCAACTCTCCTGGTCTCCACAAGTCCAGTCTGTGTGCAAGCGTGCGAGTGCGTCCTTAGGTATGCTACAACCCCACTGCCAACACTTGAATGATAACTGCAGAAAATTGTTCTTTAAGTCGTACATTTTGCCTATATTTGACTATTGCGATATAGCTTGGTGCGGGTTGTCTCAGACTTTACTCCACAGACTGGAGGTACATCAACGCTTGCTTCTGAAAATTCTGTTTCGAAAAGACCAAACATTTGCCTCCCTTTGTCTTTATAAACTTGCTTCCACGCACCCTCTTCTTGCCCGACATCAGCAGCATCTTTGTATCCTTGTGCAAAAAATCTTCCTAGCCCAAGTCCCGAAACATATTGCCAAGTACAACTGGTTTGTTACCACTAGACCAACACGCAATGCCTTATCACTGCCCCGAGCTAGTTCCTCTCTGTTTTTGAAATCCCCTTTCTTCTCAGCATACTCCCTTTGGTCTAACCTGCCTACTAGCATCAAGACATGCCAGGATATCAGGAAATTCACAGTCCAGCTTTCCACACTGTCTCATCCGAAGTGATCCCATGTATTATTAATGTGCCTCCCTTTCTTTTTCTCTCCCTATCTCCTTTCCCTCTCTGACAGCATCTTTCTTTTTTTTTTTTTTCCATTTTAGCTTGCCGTGGTTGGCTATCACCTGACCTCTCATGTTTATTGGCAGTCTTCGGACGGGCCAGGAGATGTTGAATAAATAAATAAATAAATAAATTAAGAAGGGAGGTGGATTGTGCACATTTATATCTGGTGGCCTACTGTTTGAATCTTAGAGGCAGCCGTAATTCCATACACATAACAAACTACGGACGAGGTAGGTGCCCGGCGACATTTCTTGCGGGATACGACAAGGAGAGACAGAGAAACGAAAGACTCCATGGTGACAAAGAGATAGAGAGAGACAGAGACAGATAGAGACAGATAGAGACAGAGATACAGAGAGACAGAGAGACAGAGACATAGAGACAAAGAGAGAGAGAGAGAGAGAGAGAGAGAGAGAGAGAGAGAGAGAGAGAGAGAGAGAGAGAGAGAGTGTAAGAAAAGGGGCCCGGCACGGTAGCTATGGCACATATGGGTGCACAAGTAGCTAACCAGGGCAACAGTATGCTACGCTTGCAGGCTAGGAAAGGGACCCTGGAACACTTTCGGCGTTGATCTCCTACCCTCACTTCGCAGGGCACAATGGCGCGGTAACTTCTGTTGCTTCTTCTCCATTATTTACACAGTTGCACCTTCTCCCCCCCCCCCCCCTCTCTCTCTCTCTCTCTGCAGAGAGGTGACATGACTCGCATCTTTTTTAGGTACTACACTCTGCGTATATAATACTGCTCCTGTGTGGCTTGCACTGTATTTGTTGTTCTTATTACCTGATGATGGCCAAGTGCAGAAACGTTGTAAAATTAATAACGGGACTGGTTCGGATGGGCAAAACCTAGCGTAGCAACAATATTCGAAGGGCTCCAATTCAAAACGAGATAAATCCATTTTGTGGAAATTTCAGGAAAGGTTTTTTCATTTGTTCTTTTTCGGCCTGCACTGCAGTATCAATGACTTTTGTCGCGCTTTGCAGAAGAACACAAACTTCAGACATCATTTTGACTGGGATGCATCGTGTTTTGACCCGTAAAACTGACACACAGACGTCCGTGGGGTGAAAACGAATTCTTTCGTGATAAAATACGCAACAGCTCGGGCTTGGTCTTTATCGCGTTTGAATAGGAGCCCTTCATGTATAGTCACAGAAACTTACTTCCTTTACAGCTCCATCGTCTTGGACATCTCTGACCGCCTGGACAGCTCTACCCTCCAGATCAGAACCTTCTTCAGGATCATCTCCATCCGCCGGCGCACTGTTGGGAGCGTCCATGTCTACACTTTCTGCTGTGTTGTCTTGCACTTGGCTGGCCACAGAGATGGAAGTGGATGGTGATGCCGGGGTAGCTTCCAGGAATTCCGACACTGGTTGGACTAGAGCAGTCCGTGTAGCTGCAGACTACAGCACAGGACACCACACAGGAGAAACAGCATACTGAGATAAGAGGCACTCGGATGTGGTTCGAAGTATGGCAGATTTTGACACCACAAGAGAGAGAGAGAGAGAGAAAGAGAAATAAAGAGAGAGAAAGAGAGAGAGAGAAAGAGAGAGAGAGAGAGAGAGAGAGAGAGAGAGAGAGAGAGAGAGAGAGAGAGAGAGAG